GGGGGGGGGGGGGGGGGGCTTGTTAATGTCCAAACAACCACATTTTTCTTTTAAAAATGAGAACAAACATATGATATTTATAACAAACATATGATATCTATAACAAACGTATGATATCTATAACAAAGAAAAAAGACACCTGTTTCATGTTTGTGATCATTTATTTTGCCCCGATATATAGAATGCCCTGATTATGGACCACCCCCACATGTTCAAGAAATTCCCCAACAGCGGCCATCTCCTGTATCAAACATTGGTCATTTATAAATTTCATGCCATTTCACAACCATCAGTAGACCTAATGGTTGGCTCTGAACACAGAACATCAACTACAAGTGATATTATATTCCAGAAGATACCTGAACCAGAAGAAAGTCTTGAGCTTATCAGACAAACCTGCAAGGATGTCTTTTAAATGTGTTTATCAATCTCAAACTGTTTTTTTTTAAATGTACATGCTATGTCTATTTCAGTGAAAGCTTAAAACTTACTATACACGTTTGGGTAAATCAAGTTTGGCCACGCTGTCAAGTTTCAAATTGGAACGTACATCAATCATAGTTGTAGTATTTTTTAATGTTCCAAACATACTAACATGCTTTCGAAAAGAAGGAATTTACTGCAGCTGCAGAGAATTCACACAAGAATTGATTTAGCTGATGAATATAAACATAAGACCACTTTTTGGCAACATTATTGGACCACACTTTGACTTACACTGTTACTTTGTAAAAATCGTAAATGATTTGAATAATGGGGAAATATGATTTATCACCTAAGAGTGATCTAATCTGACATGGATATGTGGAGATTTTGCTCCCCCGAGAAGATTCTGAATACAGAAGAGAACAAACTCGCAGTTTCTTTTCTTTGTTCAAAATAATCTTTTGTGAATGATGCCGCCTCAAAATTCAACACACAAACACCCAAAAAAAAAAAAAAAAAAAAAAAAAAAAAAAAAAAAAAAAGGAAGGGGGGGGGGGGGGGGGGGGGGGTGTGTCATCTTTCTGTAAATAAAATTTGTTCTGTTAACATTTATGTAAGATTCGAAAAGATGCCCGGTTTTTAGTATTAAAGGATTTGTAGTATGTGTCTTCCATAAATAAAATTTAAGATGTGCAGTGATGTTTAAATTGGAAAGTACATATTCAGTAAATGAATGCATAGCATGGTCTATGAAACAACAGAATGCATGTACACCAAGGCTTAGAAAATCCTAAGTACTAGTCCTGAAAAAATAGGTAATAAAACTCAGATCTGAAACACTTATACTAATATATAAAACTTATAAAATGCACTAAAATGTTTGACTTGACTTCATCTTACTGTCATATGAATAAAGTTTTACACAATTGACAATTGAACATCTCTGAATATTATACTGTACTAATAAACGTGTAAGTTTGAGTTTCTGAAATGTATCCAGTAAGGTTCAGAACATAGGGTTTCGATTATTGTCCTTCACACAGCAAACAATTTGTATGCATTCAGTCAGTGGTACTTGGGCATGAGCAACCATAATAATAAAGGTAGAAATGATTTTAATTTTTTCAAACTAACAAAAAATTTTTATAATATAATGCTAATTCTAATTAATTTTTCTGTTATTATTACATTGTTTAATGAAGTATGCGATGGACAAGCAAATATTCTATCACAAGTTTGCCTTTAAAAAAAAAAAAGCTATGAAACTCAAAAAGAGCTTTTACAGAAAAAATCTTTTAAAAAACAGTTTAGAGATATACCGTACACGGTAATATAAATAATCAGATGATTAACAAGTAAGTTTCAAGGCACAAAAGTTTATGATAAACTGCAGTCAATACAGGCACAGAATTTTTAAAGGAATAATGGTTATGCTTTGATAAATACTTCACAATAGCACAGCTGATTGATACTGTAACAGGGTCGAAGAGGGAATGTTAAAACTGAGTATCCAACAAAACTATAGTCATTTTGCAATTTTTTTTTTTTTAAAATGAAATTGATGAAGCCCTATCTAAATTTAATCAAAGACAAAGTGCAATTCGATTATCTATAAATTATAACTTTTAAAACACTTAGATCTAATTTTATTGTGCAACATCAAAAACAAGTTTCATGTCGATTAAACTTTTTAAAAGATTCCAAAATTTCCAGAGCATTAAAAACCCAATATTTAGTAAATTTCACCAAATCTTACTGAAGATTTTAATATTTTGTTACATTACTTACAAATCTGCTAAGTTAATATAAAGAAATTCCTGACAGATTATTAAGACCAGGTTTGTTTTCTAACAATGACAAAGCATCAAATGGTGTTACTACATTTTTGTGTCCAGATGTTATTTTTAAATAATGCTCATTATTTACTATGTGCACCTTTCTTTCCTTACACTCTCTGTGGGAAAAGTGATTCCAGGTGGTTGCTGACCATTCAGACAGAAAGTTAACTTAAGAACTACTAGATCACATTGTACATGTCATGGCTTAGATTTCTCAGACGCTGTGCTAATAGATAAAATGTAATGATTCCACAGCACACATGCTCACCAACTCTGTTTGAGTCTGCACTCAAAGTAATATAATTTTACAAATTACAAATGAATACAGTGTCAAAACCATGGCAATATGAGATCCCCCTCACTGCTGTTGGAATAGTTGCAAAGAGCACAGCATTCACATACAGCAAGAAAATTACTTGTAAAATGTGTATGGCATCTTCAAACATGGTTAGGAACACAGAAATGGGTTATTATTGATATGTATTATGAATAATTAAATAATGAGATTCATAACAAAGAATGCATTTATATAATAGTTCATATAAATATTTACACAAGTATCTGTACAATTCCTCTAATTTCTTTTTATTTAAATTTTAACAAATTTAAATTAAATAAATGATTTTATAAAAATTACTTCATTATAGATTGGGACTAATGTTATTTTTTATAAATAAACTCTATTCAAATATAATATTGTAAGATAAACTACAGTTAAATAACAATTATACATAAGAAAAAATAGATTTTAAAAATTTAAATTGATGGGTTCTTGTTTTTTCCATCTTCATAGAACATTGTAAGTTGTTTTTTTTTTAATTACTAAGAAGATATTACAAAAGTAACTTAACAAATAAAACAAAATATTTACAACAGCAACATTTCAACGTTCTTAAAATACATATCTTAGTTTGTCTCTTGATATAATAACAAAATATTGATAACCTTAACAAATTTTAAAATGTTTCATTTGTTTATTTTAAAATTACTGTAAATCTAGCATATAATAATTTAAAAAAACCATGGTGTTTTAGTTTGATATCAAATTTTTTTTATTTTATTTTATACTTACTGTAAATCCAGCGTATAATAATTTTTAAAAAACATGGTGTTTTAGTTTGATCACAATCAACTAAAACTGAGCATCAATTCCAACAATGTATCTACAAAATCAGTTTTAAACAATCTTATAATTATTAACAGAGATTCAATTTATTAAGTAATCTTTTAGTCATAAAAAAAAAAGCAAAGTAAGCAGTTACTATTGAAATTTGCCAAAAGATTTGCAAGTATTTTAAATACAAGACAATGGAGGTTTTCAGATCTATCAAGTTGTAAATAAAATCCATTGATTCAAAAGGCGTGTATAGCTACAGACCTTAATATCAGGCCAGACTAAAGAATATATTTTTTAGGATTTCAAAATCAAAATAAAGAAAAAAATTTATTTGAATTTTCCATAGAATAACAAAATTACACAGTAGTTTAAAAAAAAAAAGCAAAATACATAAACTAAAGTTATTATTTTGTTCAAATTGTTACAACCATCTGAGCATTATCTGGATAGAGCATGTGGACAGCAGCCAAATTCTCTCAGGAGAAAATTTTTTTTTTTTACATTCCTAGAATGAAATAATTGTATCTATAGCCAGGAACTTTGATTGTAGGTTAGAAAAATGAAATGAATTTAATTAAATAAAACTGTAACTAAAACCTGAATTCTTGGAATTCATTTAAAGTTAATGGAATTTAAATATCCTAGAATTTAATTATATATGATAGCAAGTAACATTCCATTATATCATATTCTTATATATATATATATATATAAATACACATCAGGTGAAACATGAAAGTAAGAAATTAGTTTTCTTTAAATATGTATTACAAAGAAAAACTTGTTTTATTTATATTTCAATAAATGGTAAGTTTAATTTATATCTTATCTTGAAGTTGAAATATTTTGGCAGAACTAAAAATGAGCATGTTGATTTATTGATAAATTCAAGTGACTCCAAGTACAACAATGGAGTTAAGGGGTAATTTACACCAAGATTTGTTTACTTTACCCTAAAATATTTTACTCAAACATTTCCCATAGATCTGTACCAATAAACATGTTGTTAAAAGTTAAAAATAGAGTCCTTGTCTCAAACTGCTCTGTGAATATCATGCGGTTGAGTAAAGAAATAGTTTGGTGATAGAGGAGAGGGCCACACATACCAGGTTTACTGTTGCCTCAGAAAGTTAATGGTAAAATAGTATTAATATTTGTGTAATTTAATTTTCTTTTTTAACATTTATTTATCAAACTTTTTTTTAAAGTGTTTTGATTTCATAGCCAAAAAATATCCTATAAAAAAATAATTCTGATTAAAAAAAGAAAATCCTCTTGCACCGGAATATACAACATGTCTCATTATAGTCATGAGGAAAACTATCCCCAAGGTTGCTGTCAATCAAAGAATCGTATCTGCATGAAGTTCTGCTCTGGAGACTTTTCAAAACCGAACATTGCATAGAACTTGACATTGTGTTCCTTACATTCAAGAGATACCTTGTAGCATCCCAGAACTTGACTAAGGCACACCAGCAGATCTACTAATCTGTGTTTGTAAGATAAAAAGAAATATAATTTAAAAAAGGGTCAGTGGTTCCATCCAAGATATTAGTAACACATCAATTCTGTCTCTTCTGTAGCAGTAAATATTATTACACAAGCAGTTCTTATTGCAGTTCAGAGAGAGCTAAGAGTCAAACATAAATTAGAATCAAATTTCAAACAAGAGAAAAGTTACTTACACCTTTCCTAACTGCAGACCTCTGTAATCATTACCTACAACAACATCTTCTATTCTGGCTCGCTGGGATTGCAACAAAAAAAATAATAAAAATTTAATAAATAATTGAATATTTTAATGTCATATGAAATCTTAAATATGAAATGTTTTCTTTGTATAAAAGTTTCTTTCCATATATCATCTATTCACACTGTAAGAAGTCAAAGTACATTACTGCTTCTCTAATTTTATACTATTATTATTAAGGTGGTTTTCTATAGCACAGTACCCCAGCCTAGGGCTAGGCTCACTGCGCTTCACATTAACTTAGCAATTATAGAAAATAATACATTTAGCAACAACAATTGGTAAAAAGCTTGACCTCACCTAAGCAAGTACTATCGACCCCTGTCTAGCCATGGACAGATCCCAGCAGCATTGAGTGTTGTTTATCAGTTAGAATAAGTTGGTATAGTACAGTTTGAAGAGAAGTATCTTGAAGGTGATTTTGAAGGCTGGGACGGTCAGTATTTTCCGTATGTGTAATGGGAGAGAATTCCATTGTTTTGGGGCACAGAAAGAGAAAGATCTTTAACCATATGTTTTAGTGTGTGTTCTGGGATCAGAAAGAATATGTGTGTCTGCAGAGGAGCAAAGCTTTCAAAGGGGTGAATAGACAGAAAGAAGTTCAGTAAGCTGCTAATCTAGCAGCTGAGTTTTGAACTTTCTGCAGTTTTTCTATGAAATGTTTTGGTGAACCTGACAGAAGAGAGTTACAATAGTAAAGACAAGAGAGAACAAGAGCACAGACTATACATTTCTATAGATTAAAAGCAAACTCACAGCTGTTGCCTGGTGGATAAACTTTTTTTCCATCACCAAAGTGGCGGTCCCTATTATCTGGCTCTTTGATGTGTCTTCTATCACAGTTATGTAATAAGTATCTGAACATGCTTTCATTTTATTGAACTGAGCTGAAATTTTAAGTAAATTGAAGAAATTTAATTAAATATTTATTTTGTTATATTGATATAAAAGTTTGACCATTATTTTATCAATGAAAATAATTTATTAAATTTCTATATATTAAAATCCTTTATGGAATAGTTGTGGAGATATGTAAGTTACAATTAACTTAAACGTAGGAACAATATACAGTTAAAACACTATCATTATTAAGATATTGAGCAATCATGATGCATAAGCAGGATATTTTAAACATATTCAAACATTACAAATTTTCCAAAACAAATTTTCCAAATTTGGAAAATGGAAAACGTAAATGTTCTACTTACTAATGAACTGTTCCTGAGAGACATCTCCAACCACAGTCAACTCTTTCAACAAATCCAGAAAACCTGTCAAGATCAAAAGCAAAGTTTGAAATTCTATAGCTACATTCAGTGAAAGCCGGGAGTTGTCATCTCAATAAATGAAATATGCTTACAATATTTAAAATCTTAATAATTTATTATATTAATACAAAATAATGGATCCCATATAGCTTTAATAAAAATTAAAAATATCCCTATTAATATATGACTATAAGTCAAGACATGGGCTTATTTTATTGCATTAGTTTACTGTATGATATCCTCACCAGTGTGTAATTTCTTATGCATATGATGATACAAATTTAAAGCAAGCTGAAAGAATTCATAATTGCTTAGCTTTTCCATTTTTTTTTCAAATCAAAAGATTGTAAAGGAATTTCTATTTTTACTGACATCCCTGGGTTCTTAAGAACTTTTATAGGTGTGTCATATTAGGTCAAATTTTTTTTTGACTTTCAATAAATTTACACATATCTTGCCACCCCCGTGACAGCTCATTATTTCACTAAAGCCTCGACAATAATGACAACAATTTAATAGAGGAAAAGCCAGCTGTTAAAAAAAGAAATACTGCATCCTCAGAAAACAAGCAGGATTGCTTTGAATAGATATATAAAGAACATTTTACAGTTTAACTTTCAATACTGGTGGTACCTACCTTTGTCAAAATCACCAAGGCGTAATGGTCGAATTTGAAGATTCACACCAGGTTTTAATGGTGTCACATCATTTTTATAGTCTGATTTGAACTTACTTTCATCTATTCTCAAAAATACCTCTGGATCAAAGAGGTAAGTATCATTATACCCATTCTGCAAAATAAAGACATTTCTAAACTCATTTTAAAAAAAAATTTATTCACTTCCTATTCCCCATTTTAATTTGTTTTGCAATAAAAAATGATTTTATGGTATAGGCCCATTTAATAATTAGTTTAAGAAATATAACAGAGCCTATATGTAGCCATGCAGAGATGGTGATTGGTCAGAGGCTGACAGTTTTAACTTTGGTTTAAAAATCCAAGGAAAATAAGGTCTTGAGTACTATGCATTTATTTGTTCTTACAGTTTGCTAAAAAGAAAAAAGTGTAAGAAAAGGGACAATCTGAAGTGGTCAGATAGAGCAGTGAAATAATTAGGAATTATTTTGCTTTCCACAAATCATCTGTCTTTATTCAAATGTGGTAGACTTGGTCTCCCTGAGGTAGGACCCATACGGATGTCAGCGTCAGCTTAGAGGAGGGGATGGGTGAAATGTTGGTCTTGGTCATGTGATGGTCAGTCAGTGTTCATGAGTGAAACTAGCTTGAATAGTTCCAAGCACACAGCATTTTGCTACTTTTAATTTACATTGAGTGTGTACATGCTTTAGTATAGCTAGCTATCGCTGTGGTGTTTTACGCTATTATTATTACATGGCATCTTGACACTTATATTTTGTAAAATATTAAAAAGTTGCCTAATTTTGACCAATGAATACATTCTCTAAATTCTTCACGTTTTCCAAGAGATCTTATTTTTACGACTATGCAAAAAAAAATAATTAGATGCATGTTTTGCTCCATCTGAGTCTTGTCTGCTGTGGTTTAAGAAAGAATATATCCATCTATTTATTTCATTTCTATTGCTGTTATGAAATCTAGAAAGAGCTACCAAACCATATTTCAGCCAAAGGCTTTAATTTATGTAAACATTTATAGGCATAATTTTATGTTTAGTAACATTAACACTTGACAACACCTGACGAGCCTCTCAAATGTTACGAACTCTCCTAGTATGTCTACTGGTGGGCATATGTTCAAGCATATGTTGTCTATGAATGTTTATGACTTGCTAGCCATACTTGATAACAACTAAAAGCAGCAATAACACTAATTGAAATAACAACAAATCTTTATTCACAATATCCACAATAACTTTATTCACAATAACTTTACATTATAACATCCTATACCGGTATTTACTTTGACGAAAACTAAGAATTTTGAGCAACTACCAACCCTGCACTAAAAAATCTCGAAAAACTAACTTGACAAACCAACATGCTCTAAGTTGACTCTCTGACTTTACTCTGCACTAAATTTCATCACATGTTCACACACCATTTATATACTTCACATGTCTACAAACCTTGAACTTTCAGCTAATCACACCAAAAGAATACCAAAACAACTCACAATTCACAACTCCCATTCCAAACATTTTCAAGAACCTAATCCAAAGAACTCCTCATAATGACAATCCATCTGAGGCCTTTGAATTGTAACTAGATAATTAGAGAATGGTGTTAAGTTAACTATCATGAGTGGGCTGTCAGAAATTAGAATAACACCTGCTCAAGTACAGTACCCATGGACCCATGACCCTTGTAGCCTGGTACCGGATGAAACAGAACAGACAAGTTTATAGAGAGTCATTAAGTTCACCCACTGGTGATGGCCACTGTTGCCAACCATTTTATTATCTACTGATGTAACTGTATTGATTTTTATAGTCTGTTTCAGATATATCTTCAAGTAAAAGATCATCAAAATTACTTTCTACATTAGTCTAATTTCATTACTGTCTTCATCAATCTGTTCAACTGTTTCATCCTCCAAACTTGCTAGTCTGGTCACTATGAACTTGGAAAGAAAAGCTCACATGACTCACCTTTGAACTCTTATAACTTTCTAAGTCTAAAGATAGAAGTTATACTGTTAGACTCACATGGAATTCAATTTTTTAAAATAACAAAATCAACTGTCACTGTTATTGCTAAGCCTAAGCCCCTGAAAAAGCATCATATGTAACAATCCACCTGACGTACCACCGCCCCAATCCACCTGATGTGCCACCACCTTAATCCACCTGATGTGCAGATACTACGCCCAACATAGTAGAGGTGTGCTAGTGAAAATTTGGGAGGCTAAACTGTGCGCTAATTATACAAATAAATGTAGGGGGGGTCAAAATAACAAACTTCTTGTCATTTTTCTATGATTTTTTTATATAATTTCTATTTTCTTAAAATTAAAAGACCGCACCAGAGAATCACCAAGCAGTTGACTGAGTTGTTAGCCTAGAGACATTAGAGTCTAAGTGACTTAAGAAGACTGAACTAAGAGTGGATTGACTAAGCCAAGACACTCTAACTCTAAGTCTAAGACCAGTTAGGTCCTAACTTAGGACCCCCAATAAAAAAAGTATATTATATATAACAATATAACTACACGTATTAGTATTAGGACCTACGAATCCTTACTTAACTTACTAGCGGGAAGGTTTTTAGTTCAGTGTACATCAGTTCAGTAAATGAAATGGAAAAAGGGGGGGGGGGGGGAGGTATGGAAAAGATTGGCGATAGCGGCTCGGCAACCCAAATTATAATTTATTTTCGAATAAACTAAAACTAAAGACCAAAGTTAAAGACTAATCCATCAAACCACAGTTAACAGTCTCAAGACCTAATTACTATGAATGTGATTAGGCTTCTAATAATTAACCTAATTAATTTAAATTAGGCCTACCTCCTGTATATTAGACATCATTAGGATCTAGGATGTGTAGTCTCTACATAAAACAACTGTAGGCCTATCCTTTTTTGAACATAGGAACGTCACAATTTTAGTTTACGTGGTAGAATCAATCTAGGAAGTCGACACAGTCAACATATTTTTTTCCAACCCCCACTCCCTCCCTAATCTTTCCCCATCATCAGCTATAGTTACATCATCATGTAAGCCGACGTTCCGTATCTTATTCATACTGACGTTGCTCCTTTTATGATGTCAGCATTCAATAACTCCTTGCCAAAAGATATGAGTGTGTTTTCTTAAGATATAAATAGCAATGATTTTATCAGAGAAGATTATCATCGATGCAGTGATATAGTTGCTACCCCGTCAACAACTCTATGATTCCAAAAATGACATCTAAGTCTAAGTAGGGCCTACTTAGCGTGTTCTGTCTCAACCGACATGTGTAATTGCACGAAGATGACACTAGGTAGTAAAAAAAATTCCCAATGCGTGACTTACGACTTACATTTGGGACATTTGGAAAATTATGCTGGGACATTCAGTCTGATCATGGCTATAGGTTCCAGTTCAGTAGCAGGGGACCATCCACAAGAGATGTCACGTTATTTTGGTACTTTTTGTGGCATCCATCAGTTAATTTATTTTGTTATCATTGTCCTAAACCAGCGGTTCTCAACCTGTGGGTCGCGGGACCCTTTTCCAGGGGTCGCCTAAGACCATCTGAAAACACATATCCTTACAGCTATGAAGTAGCAACGAAAATAATTGTGCGGCTGGGGGTCGCCACGACACGAGAAACTGTATTAAAGGATCGCGGCACTAGGAAGGTTGAGAACCACTGTCCTAAACCTTTATTCTAGAATGCGCCAAAAAGGACACACGTTTTTCGAGTCTGTCTGGTGGATGGTTAGATCTATTTATTTTTAAATAGTATTTGCGCGTCATTTTTTTTTTTTTTTTTTTTTTAAGTTGTCATTGTTGCTTTTTCCCCTCTGCTTGCTTTATTTTTTGTGGACATTTTTTTAAAGAGCTGAATTTTGGACCGTGAGGACACATTGACATATAGAACTAACACACACGAGAAAAAACAAATTTTTTTTTTTTTTTTTTTTATTTTTTTTTTGCCGCCTTTTTTTTTTTTTTTTTTTTTTTAAGTTGTCATTGTTGCTTTTTCCCCTCTGCATGCTTTATTTTTTGTGGACATTTTTTTAAAGAGCTGAACTTTGGACCATGAGGACACATTGACACATAGACCTAACACACACGAGAAGAGACAAAAGTGTGCCCCTCTTCCTAATAATATAATATATATATTTTTTTTTAGACAGACATAACGGATTTCCTCCTAAAGTGCACTGTCCTGCTACATGTAAGGTACACCTCTGCGCTGGACATTTGCAGTTGGTGACGCTAGTAGAAGTAGCCTACACAGTAGCATGGTGAGACTGTCACGGATAAGCAATGTTGAGTGATTTAATTAGTGGAGAACTAGAGTTTGTGACGCCCGACGAGGGTCTTGATTTTGACGCTCCTTATTATAAAAAAACACACACACACAACACAATGTATACAGATTAAACGTAAAAATCTAAATGAAGTGGACCGAAAATGCCGCCCCAGTATAAGTGCCACCCAGGGCCGACCGCCGCTTCGCCCCCTTTTCCTGTTGCCGGAGGTATGAAAAGTTATACAGTTCAATGAAATTCCAATCCAATTTTAAACCTTAAATAAATCACCCGGATGTAAATATAAACAAGGGAAAAAGTCGAGGAATTTGCGAGGAAGATTTAACGAGTGTTACTTCTACTAGTACTACTATAACAACTGTATGGAAGTTAATAGCCCATGGTCATCAAGACCCTTTAATTATTTGGGCTAATGCAGAGAATTGCTGCCACTAGGAATACATTTAGTTTAGGGTTCAGGTTAGGTTTAGGGATACATTTAGGTTCATTGGGGATACATTTATTAAATTTTAATTAAATTTATTTATAAGTAGTTAGGGTTAGGTTAGGTTTATTGACAGTGAATTATGAAAGTTCACGGGTCGTGGCAACCAAGAAGGCGGCCATGTGATACGTCATGGCACCAATTGTCTGCATTTACCAAATATATATTATTTATTGACTACTCTGAGTTAAAAAAAAATTCTTTACAGTTTACGAAACACCAATTTCACATCCAGAAAAGGGTCACTCTCATGTCATGACTGTCATGTTTACAAGTGGTGGGGCTTCATTTATGCTAGTCTAGACTCTAGAGAGACTTAATGGAGTTGCAGCACTATTCAAAAGTGAAATCCCTTATCTCACACAAATTTTTTGTACACATAGGCTATAGGAGAATTTCTGTATTACCGGTATTGATAAATGAAGGCGTAGGCAAACATAGACTAACTTAGACAGTGAGTGACATTTTTTTTTTGGTAGTGAAATCAATAGTTGAATAATTCCACCAAATACCACCTTATAACTTGTACTTATTGATTAACTTATATTTATATGCAACAAAGTTAAAGCTTTTGGGTCGAAAATTAAAATAAAGACTAAGACAAATGTTGACTAAAATATCAGAACCTTCATCAACTGTCAAAGCAACTCAAGTTGTGAAAAGCTGTATTTGCTAGGTTTCTGACAATGCCTTTTTCTCAGTTAACCTACTAAATCAATTGGTGATAATTTTAAAAAATAAAAATCCTTAATTTTAGCTGCAACAACTATCTGGAAGTGGAAGCCTTATGTATTTGGCCATGTGAACGTTAATGTTTTGCACAGACAGGATGGAGTTATTCAATTCATTTTGATAGCTAAAAGAACATTGTAAATCAATACCTTTACTTGGTTACTATTGGTCTGTTTGATTGCAGTGTCTCTATTGCTAACTTTTGGGATCAAATACAATTGAATTGGCATTTAACTACATACAACCACCCTCTTTGCTGGTAGTGATGGATTTTTATGGAGTTTTTCAGCACTATCAAGGTGCACCTTACTGCCTTTTTAGCTTCCAGTTGTCCTCAAACATCTTCCCACTTGCAAAGTCTAATTTGCCTTTACAAACAAGTTACTTCTGTATTGTAAGAAAAAATATCACTCAGCACACAGATAACAGTTTTTTATGGATGATTGGCTGGCAGAAATTGTTTCAATGTCAACACCAAACTGTTAACAGTTCTCTCTCTCTTATATATTTTTTTTTTATTTTCCATAATAAGTTTATTAAAATATAAGATTTGAGATTTAGCAGACCTTAACTCTTATACTAATTCTAACTCATTTGAATTTTTTATTCTTGAATTTCAGATTTATTAAGTGTTTGAAAATTCATCTGTTCCAGTGATGCCATTATTGTTGTTGGGGTAAAATGTCTAATACAAATATTATATATGATTATATAGCTGGAGCCACAGGAGGTTAGCCAATCTATTCTCTTCCTACTTTTCTTTAAATCTGCATTTTCTTATTCACAATTTTTTTGTTACATCCATTAATTTTGTTTTCAGCATCACTTTTTCTTTAAATATTTCTGAATATTTCACTCATAAAAGCCAAAAGAGTTCCAATTTATTTTAGGATTCTATTTTTGTTTCAATATACTTTTTTTATTACATTATCTAATTTACTGAATCCTCTTAAAGTTACTTTTACAATTCTTATATTTGAAAGCAAAGTATTTTTTTAATTAATTGTCTGAAAAATTAGCCTAATCCTTTTAGTTTTTATTTAAAACAGTTTTAGTATAACCTAGTAATTAAGACATAAAATCTTTATTCCACAATCCCAGAATAAATAATTTGACAAAGAGTTGACCCCTGCTTGCAAATTCAAAAACTTCTAAATTCTAAGTATAGATAATTTTTCATTTAGCTTTGTTGTATGTATCATAAAATTAATTTCTTAATCGATCAGGTTGTGCAGGTATTGTGGTGGGTCATCCCTTGGATACAATCAAGGTATGTCAATTTTAAAAACACTTAAAGAATCGAATTACTTTTAAAACATATTTTACCATTGAAAAATGTCAAGTAAAGTTTCTGTGTATTACACTCATAATCATATCATACAATCTAAGGCGTCTACTGCTTAACCAGGATTCAAATGCAGGACTACTTTACTTTAAGTGTATGATGCTGAGACCATTTAACTTTCTTAAGTAATAAAAAATACTGTATAAATATTTTGCACTAGATAAGTCAAAGTTATTTGATTTAAGTGAACTTTATTTAAAATTTAAAGATTTTTTTTTTTAATTTGTAATTTTTTTTTTTTTTTTTTTTTTTTTTTTTTTTTTTTTTTTTTTTTATTTTATTTTTTTTTTTTTTATAAAAAAAAAAAATATATATTTTTTTTTTTTTTTTTTTTTTTTTTTTTTTTTTTTTTTTTTTTTATTTTTTTTTTTTTTTTTTTTTTTTTTTTTTTTTTTTTTTTTTTTTTTTTTTTTTTTTATAGATTTTGAAGTAAATTAATTGATTTTATAACAATCAAAGGATAATATACTTAATGTTATTTTAATCGATTATCTGGATTTATTTTGGTTTTTAACATAATGAATTAGATTTAAGTAAAATAATATTAAAAATGAATAAAATCTTAATTTAAACTTATTTAATAGGATTTTCACACTTTTTCCTAAACTGAAATTTCTTATTATATTCTTATTATTGTAATTGGCTTGCTTAAAATATGTTATCTATTTATTTATGAACTGAAAATACAATGTACAATGTAATCAAAAACATTTCAATTTATTTGGATCAATAAACGAATCTTAACGTATCTTTTAAAAATTATAAGACACATTAAATTAGTAACTAAAACAAATGTTTTATTTCTTATAATCAACGATAGTCATTTTAATATTATAGTCTCTATATAATCTATTTTAATATTATAATCTCTATATAATCTATATGAATAAGAATTTTAAGACTTTCAAATTATGAATACCAATGTCATAATATTGTCGTTTGTATGTCTTTTAATTCCACCAAAGCCTTCTGATGAAAAATATGGGGCAAAATTTTCAGTCCATTTCATTTGCTTTATATAGATTTTTATGTGTATTCTGTATGCATTGTATTTTATTTTTTTAATCAGGGGTGTCAAAATCATAAACTTTTGATGGTCCACTAACCAGTGGACATAGTTTATCCGTGAAAGTCTCAGCATGCTATTGTGTAGGTTACTAGCATGACCAATGACAACTGTCCAGTGCAGAGGCGTACCAAGTTTGTGTTAGAGTTAAGGTTAGGCGCTCAAAAATCCGTGAGCCGGTCAAATTTTTTTATAGTGGTGCACTTTTAGTTCTTGCCATGGGCATTTTATGTCAATATGTCCTCATGGTCCAAAGTTCAGTTCTTTTAAAATTTTCCACAAAAAAATTGACAAACAAAGATAATCTTATTTTTTTAAATGTTATGCTCTTTTTTTTCTTTATATTTTTTGTGCATTAAGCCTAGCGAACATCCACACTGTACAAATCCTTTTGGCACTGATTGGTAGACTTCGTAAGGAGTACTGTTGAGTTTGGAGAGTCTTGAAATTAGAGAAATTAATAAAACATTTTTTTTTATTATTTTGATTCAGCTGTTAATTATCTTTTATAAAATTTCAATTAGAAATGTTATCCTAAGAGTGGGTCATTTCCCCCCCCCCCCTTCCCAATTTTTTTTTGAAATTTTTAGCTTCATATACCAGGGGTGTGGTTCATTTTTTATTTCTTTTAATATTCAAATCTGATATAAGACTTATCTTGACATCTGTATCTATTATAAAATTTCAATTAGAAATGTTATCCTAAGAATGGGTCATTTCCCCCCCCCCCCTTCCCAATATTATTTTGAAATTTGTAGCTTCATATATCAGGGGTGTGGTTCATTGTTTATTTCTATTAAGATTCAAATCTGATATAAGACTTATCTGGACATCTGTATCTGAATCACATATAAAATAGTATGCTAATAAACATTTCAATAAATAATTAAATTTATAGTTGCTTATTATCATAACTTATATCTTTAATGACTTGTAGGTACAAATACAAACCCAGGAGTATGGAGGGAAGTACAAAAACCTTATGGATTGTATCAGAACTGTGCAGAATCAAACTTTGGTGAGATTACTATAGCCCTATCTTGTTTATGAAAAGATAAACTTATTTTTATCAGCATCGTGTTAATTAACATTTGGTTACTTACATTTGATACTGCCCAATATCCATCAACATTAGATACATATTAGATACAATTTTACTTCTTCTTATCAAGAATGGCCTATACTCTCTTTTCAATATACATTTTTAAAAACAATGAAATGAAAATCCCCCCCCCCCTCAAAAAAAAGTCATTGGCAAATTAATGATGGCTGAAAATTTATTTTAATTGCCTGTATTTCATTTGTATCATTCATCATTGCGTTTCTACCCAGATCTAAATAGTTAAGATTTTATGCACAAACTTAAAAGTTTGAACACTTAAATTTTTAACATATAAAATATTGTGATTTAAATTGATAAATTTAATGGGAGATAAAACAAGTTGCAACTATATCCTACAGCAGTTTGAATTTGAAGTAATGACAGAAACATATTTTTATGTAAAAAATATTTTTTAAAGTACATCAGGGGAAAGTACATTTTCTGTAACATGATCTTTATAAAGGTTCTTTTTTTAAGTTGCTAGGTTTTTAGTATCCTGTAAAATTTGGAAAACCTGATGAATGCATTTTCAGATTTAAAGAGACAATATATTTACACATATTATGTTAATATATATTTCCATATTTCATTACTTTTAAAACCACAACTGTCAACAGTCCAAGGGATACTTTCGGGGACTCAGTTGGCCACTGTTTTCATATGGATACCTCAATGCTGTTTTCTTTGGCTCCTATGGACTTCTAATGAAAAAGTTTCAGTACAATGATGATTTGAATCACCAGCCTAGGTATGCAATGGTCGGAACTATTGCAGCCTTGGCAACTATACCACAGTTGGCATTTTCCTGTCCAGTGGAGGTTATTAAAGTTTTGCTGCAGTCACAGATACCTCACACACATGATGGTAATAAACAATCTTCTATTTAAGTCATTGGTTTTTACCATACTAAAAAAAGTATATATATATAAATTACCATGTAAAAAATTCAGTTAAGTCACTTCTTTATTTATAAGGATATTTTTTGGGAAATATGAACTAATAAGTTTAAGATCATTTGTCTTAAAAGTGATATTTGAAAATATTAATTTAGTATATTAAAATACTTTGTGAAAACTATTTTTTCCCTAAATCTAATCTTTGCCTTACTTCAATGATTTTTATTTTATGACTTTTTTCCCATGTTATTTAATATAATGTGTAGGGTAAAAATAAATTTCTTGTTTAAATTTGTTTTAAAAATTAAAACATATGCAAGTTACAAAGAGAAATAAAAATGTGAAAATAAATATAGAACAATAATTAATTGAGAAATACTCTTAAATAGATGACTCATGGTTTCCTGGTTAGGAATGTTTTATTATGTCTTTTATAAAGGTAAAAATGACCTTTGGTTTCTTTCCCATGTTTTTTAAGCTTTGTTGCAAACCCATCTCTAATAAACTATGCTAGTGGTGGGATACCTTTTTATGACCACCAATGTGAGAAGAATTATTTTATGTTACCATGTAAATAATAAGCACATGAAACCTTTAGGTCATACTCTACTCCAATAAACCAAGAAGCATTTTTTTAATATTGAGAATAAATAAAATATAATCATTATTGCATTAAAAATTCATTTTGACTTTCAGTTCCCAAAGTCCAGCTAACAAAGTACTTTAATGGCCCTTTAGAAGCAGCAGGTAGCATAGTGAAAAAATCTGGGATTCAAGGACTATATCGAGGCTTGTTTACTCAGTTTGTACGGGACACACCTGCAGCTGCCATGTACATGACAGTGTATACATTTTTCCAGTATGAGAGCCTTCACCGTATTCCCACAGTCCCAAGCCAGCTGGTCAACTTTGTTGGAGGGGGCTTGGCGGGAGTGATGAGTTGGCTGATCATTATGCCGTTTGATGTTGTGAAAAGTAAGCTGCAAGCTGATGCCCATGGCCTTGTTTATAAAGGATTCTGGGACTGTGCCAGAAAGGTTTATGTCAGTGATGGTTTGCATGCCTTTTTCCTTGGCCTTGTTCCAATGGCTGTCAGGGCATTTCCTGTTAATGCTGTCACTTTAATGGTTTATTCTGAAAGCTTAGTGTATTTGAAAAAAACTGAACGGATTGAAGTTTGAACAAGTGATTACCATTAGATGTTAACGAAAATTTAGCAGTGAAAATAATTTAAAAAGGTTATCTTATTTATGTCTGTTATAAAACTGGTTTTTTTTTAAATTTGGCTTGTTAGAATAACAATATGTAACAAAGGACTGAAAGCCACTACACAAAGAAAAACTATATTAAACCACAAACTGTGGTTGGCCGAAAAAATCTGCCGATATTTTTGTTAAAATTGGTTGATAAAAAATATGGTCAGATAGCAACTTCCAATCCAGTATTTAAACGGAATTATAGCCACTAGCCTAATAATTCAATCATCTTCCTAGTCAAGCTGTTTGTTGAGAACTTAAAAATAAGTAGTTTTTAATGGAAGATTTATATCGCTGTTTTTTTAAAGCTAAAATGGTTGAAGCCATGGCTGGGTCTTTAGTACGAGAACTAATAGAAATATTTCTGAAGGTTTTTTAGGAGAGGATTTAAGTGATACTGATGATGATTTTAACATTCCCCATGACAATCTCAGTTTGGATTCTTCCTCTAATGAATCTGATACTAATCCTGGTGATACTGAAGTAGGCCTACTATTAGACTTTGAGATAGGCCCAGAGGTTGGGCAAGGACTGACTGAATTTTAGTAGCAGAATCTACAGAGAAGAGACCAGAACTAATAAATTTTATAGTTAGGACAACCCAAATCAGTTCCACAGTTCCTTTTTAAATGTTTACTTGTCAATAATAACTTTTTTGCCTGAGATTTTGTATGTTGTACTTGGTTTTAAAATTACTAAAATTGCTTTCAGAGGCTTAATTGTAATCAAAACCTTAGCAAACTATACATTTTCTGAAAGATAAATGCATTGGCTACCAGATTTATATTAGTATTTAATGGAAACTATAAAAATTAATGATGTTATGAACACTTGAAAGCAAGACATTGTGTTGATTTTTTTTCTTTAGCACTCCAAGGTCAAGGACACTGAACAAACATTTTTTTTACAGGTTGGACAATATAACTTTATCCCTATCCATTTACCTTTCTAAAAATATATACTTATTGGGGTCAATATTGTATTGTATCAATATTTCTATGCTATGTCATTTAATGCTATTTCCAAATGCACTCAAAAAGCTCTAAAAAGCTCCCACACTACAGAATGATCTATGCCACAGTTCGTGGGTTAATATTAACAATAATCAATTTAATTATACTATTACATTGAGGTAAGAATAAAAAATCACATATACAGAAAAAAAAACTGTATTGACTGACTTACAGCACAGCAAGTGAACAAGTATAGTACTAAAAAGGTACAAATATCAAATACACCCACAGTGAAAAATCATATTAGTCTTGTAGGGCTCCTGTAAGTCTGCTGGCCACCGCCAACCTTAATATTAATAGGGAGGGAGTCAGAACTCTCCAGAACAGAAAGTCTAGTAATTCAATTGCCAGAGAGTATTTCTCCCTCTTTATAGTATAATATAGATCCTTCTGGAAATGTAAACAAACTTTCCCAATCAAGGGCAGTAAAATCAGTAAAGGAAAAGTATTTTTAAAATCGGGGGTGGGGAAGGTAGAGTGATTGTTAAGTGTGCATGCCATGATGGCTCATGGTGAACAAAAACTAGGTTAACACCCAAGCTATAACAATATCTGAATTATTTAAATAAAATAGCCCCATTGCAGTCGTATATAGAAAAGCCAAATTAATTAGTCAAGAACATAGTCATCAAGATCTCCTCTTAAATAAGGAAAACTGCCCATTCAATTCTATTAGTAACATGTAGAAAGTTTACTTAAAATTTTTGCTTTACCTTTTCATTAACACAAAATTTTGAGAAATACTGTGATAATTCCTTTAATTTTAGCCAGTCATTTTTGTTTAATATGTCTAACTTTGTACTTTTATGTAAAATAATTTTTTCCGTTCAGCTTAGGTTTTTTCTATTTCTTAATGCTCATATTGTGTCATTCCTTCATTATGTACATCATGGTGTGGCTTCAATGGATCAAATCTTAGCCATTTGATTTTGTCTTACATTTACTCACAGCAAATGTGATATATTTTCTTTCCTTGATCATCTTCTACTTAACTTAAAAGGCCAAAACACTTCAGAATATGAAAGTTAAAATAAGAAATAATTTTCAGTAATAATTTTTATCTTCATATTTTATAGTTTATTTATCTGTGATAATAAAAAAAATGTACAATAACTTATTTTTTTGTCATTTTAAAATAAATAATTCCACAAGTCCTAGTCCTTCTAAGTATTTGGCATTGGGTTTCACAAATATATTCACTATCATTCATTAAATAGCAATAGTCTTTACTGGAACCATACACTTATTATATAATCAGAAGGGGTGAGAGGGTGATTTACTATTTTGCTATATCGTGTTTTTATTATGAAATTAGCCTAGATTAATAAAAACTACAATGTATTTTTGCTTACAGCAATTCTAGCACATTAAAAAAAAAAATTCTAGATTTTTGCTGGAAATTCGCTTATATTATATAGTCTTTAATGGTATTTTATTATTTCTAGTCTTTATACAGCTTTAAGCAGGTCTATTTATAATAAACATTTTGTTTACAGTTAAGTTGCTTAATATAAAAAAATGCTCAAACCAACATTTTTGTAATACCAATGTTTTATTGTGATGGTGGGATGATTGCTAGAACTGTTATATAATATTAGGAGGTGGTCAATGAAAATATTATATAACATATTAAGTGGGTCCAAAATGTCTAAATCTAAAATTAGTGTTATAGCTTTATCCACATATCTGCCATCAAAAACTGTAATTCTTAACGAATGTGACATAATTATTTGTATATATTATTTTTACATTTTTCAAAATCCTTTGTGAACAATTAATATTTATGATACAAATCAAAAATGTATTTGAATTGAATCCCTCTGCAATATTTTCCCCTTCTGTATGAAAATTATTTATGCTGTAAACTTTGTAATCCATGACTAAATACTACTTACTATACAATTCATTTAAAGCAATTTTCTCTTGTATTACTTTCATAATAACATGTATCTGTAAATACAAACATATACCTTAAATTTATGTATACAAAATAAATAAATAAAAATACATGATTTCAAAGTAATACATCATACAATATTTACTTACCACGGCAAGCCATTAACTATTTAAATGCATGGGGTTTCAGTATTTGTGAATGTGATATAATAAAATGTGTTTATTGCTGTAGTAGTATTTTATAGTAATTCTTACAAGAAAATGCAGTTTAATTTTTTGGTGGGGAAAATCTTATATTGTTTTCCAATTTATGTTGTGCAAAATTCAACCAGAGATATCAAAATGTATTTTAGTGTCCCAGAAGTTTACATCTGCAATAATAGTATTTCACTGCTTTGTTATAAACAAATTATGTTTATGTAGAACTACAAAACATTTGTTACCGAAAAAATGTGTATGTATTTAAAAAAAAAGTTTAAAGAAACAAATTTCCTTAATTCCAAATAACTCATTGCACTGACAATTTAACAATTATTTTTCTAGTTAACCCAAATTATATTTATAATCTGCATAGTAGTAACAGTAATAAATCATGCACTGACAAAAAGTTGACATGAAGTGCATTTTTAGTAAATGTAAGTGTAGTTTTTGTTACAGATGCAATCATATTTTGAACTAGTTGGTAATGTAATATTCTTTAAATATGTATGTCATATCCTCATGGTGGCATAGGAAGGGGGGGGGTCTGCTTTGGGTGTCACTTTTAGGGGGGGGGGGGGGGGGGGGGGGGGGGTCTGCTTTGGGTGTCACTTTTTTCCTCTATATAGAGGGGTGTCATTTTCTGCCAACTGCAGGTTCTTTTTTTTAGTTGGAGGGACAAAAATCTTGGACCGCCTCGGCCATAACTAACACTAGCTATGATTCCTGTATAATCCTATTTATACATTTAATAATACAATCATTTGATAGAGATCATTGTGTAAACATTGATAGACTATTTCACTACAATTTCTTTAGTGTAAACAAGTGAAAATTTTTTCATCCAGAATCTGCTTGTTAGTTTAGCAGTTTTACCTGCAAAATAAAAGTACCATTGTTCTTGGAAATGAATATACTTTACAGATAAGCAGTTTTCTACAATTTGTTTTTGAAACTAAAAATTAAGATTTTAGGGGTTTAACCTGCCCTTTTAAAAAAAATGTAATAATGTAACAATTCTGTTTGAATTTGTTGCAAATGTCAAGTATTCATTTATCAATTAAAGTATTTTGGTAACTTAAATTGTTACAAGTTTCAATATTCCTAATAAATACCCATTTTTAAATTATTTTTTTAAATTCTAATTTTTTTTATATAAACAGAGACAAAAAAACTTGATCAAACTCAATTATCTAGCACTTGAATCAAACTATTTTTTTTTAAATTGTAAATTAATTGTTATAGTTTGTTGCATCCCAGAATTTCTCTTTGGTCATTAAAAATTTAACAGTTTTAGGTGGTATGAAATTTACAAAAATAGTCAAATGAAAAAGTGTGATCTTTATCAGTCTGGTGTGTTTTAAAATCATGCAATTATGGGTTGAATTGATTTAACAATATTCTATACAGTTCTATTTTGTTATGTTATCAAACAATACTGCTTACAAATATGGCAATATTATTCTTTACAAATAAACAAAATGTATGATTTTCTATTTTTCCATAAAATAATTTCTTTATCAATTTCTGTAAAAAAATTGAGGATTTCACTTTGACCTAGGAAATTAATGCATTTTGGGAAAAGTCTTACCAAGAAATGTTATTCATTTCCTTGTCTCCTTTCTAATCATTATAATTTACCCCATTTATATTACTTAAATGCAAAAGCAAATTTTGACCTTAAAATGTATATTATTTAAAATTGTGCTATATTTATCTATTGAATTTATTCCTAATAAAATTTGACATTTGTACTCATTCAATTCCTTGTGATTTGTCTTTTAGTGACTCTAGTATATTTGTAAGTATTGCTGTGCTCTGCAAACTTTAAATGATATAAAGTACAAACGAATTTAAACAAGGGTCAACTTTACAGTTTAAATGGTAAAAAATGGTAGTTGAACTTCATGTCCTGAAATTTGTTTGAAAGAAATTTCGTTGACGGAAAATTGATCAAAGGAAATTTGATCGAATTTTTTTTTTCAGTTCACACGTTAAAATTTTGCATCAAGTCTCTTTTTGAGCGCATTATTTTATTTTTCTATATAGTATAGTACTTTCAAAAAGAAATTTGACAAAAATCTTAACGTGCGAACTGAAAAACAGATTCGACCAAATTTCCTTTCGATCAAATTTCCATCTATCAATTTTCTGTATACGAAATTTCTTTCAAACAAATTTCCGGTAACCGTTGAACTTGAATAAATCAGATGATTTAAGACATAATCATTATGGTATGTAGCAGTTACTTTTCATGGTTTGTTCAATTTGGGGTGGGGGAGGGAATAGATTTATGAATTCTGTGTAATTGCTGAGATCAATTTCAAATTAATTTATCTTTGCCCAACAATTGTGTATTTTATATATTGCCCAGCAACACATTTTATATAACAATTAAGGATTATCCATTGTGATTTTTTAAAAATACTGGAAGCTATTTCATGTCAACAGTGAGATGTATTTTGTATGTATATATTTAACTTGCTTACATATAAAGGAACACATAGTTTTTTGGGGGGACAGATTTTAATACAGGTACAATGAGTTACAAAACACATTCAAAAACAAAAAATATATATATAAAAACAATGTATTTAAAATATTGTGAATTTTTATTAACATTTAAATGTAGCTCAACAGCACTAAGTTTCTTCATGATATAATGATAAATGAAAACGTTAATAACTGTAGAGTTGACCATTAAAACGCACTTTAAACTATTTCTAGTACATAGAATAGCATAACAACAATGGAGTAGTCACCAATTACTGTTGGAATAAAAATCAAGAGGTGTTATTCAGCCTTAAGTGGCTGTTATGTCATGTCAAAAGTTACATCTGTGGCCAATGTTCTTTTCTTGCATCGATGATGCTCCTGTAAGACATGTAGTGGATATAGTTTCTGATCCCCTTCCCTAGTTATAATGCTGTTAAACTCCTGCAGGAGAGCCACACCTGACTATGCATTGTCATTAACCACTTCAATGTTTTAACAATCTCCCTATGCTATGGCTTGTTTGTAATCATCTTTGAGATTCCATGTCTAGGGATGAGTTTCTAGAAAGCATGTTACATCTTCAAACAAGTGAAGAAATTCATTTTCTTTTTGTACCAAATTGTTCTATTTTCATTTAAGTATAATTCTTTGAATTAAACTGAATCCAGTCTGGAGGTTCAACTATCCCTTCATTTTCATAAATAGACTTCAACTAGTTGCCCAATTAGACTCCAGCGACAGAGATTCGTCAAATAAGCCAACTTCACAAGCTCTTTACTGAGTAATCAAATGGGGACATTCGAATTTCTTGGTGAAAACTTTGTAGAGGGCAGCATTTACCGTTTCATATTCACATAGCTTTTTTTAGGAACTTTAGATCATCATTAGAAATAGAATGCATTGAGGTGAAGTGAACCATGCCTTGATGTAAACCCTAATTAGAAGATTCTAGTTTCCCCTACCAATAAAATATCTAACTAGAGAAATTCCTTGTAATCATCTATGGGTTGCTAAACTTCAATTTGTCCAATTACAAATTCCATGAAACTGTTCATGTCATCTTTTAAACTGGCCATAACTCTTTCGTTAGTTGCACCACTTTCATAACAAGATTGATGAACTTTGCTCCATGAATGCTTGAATTGCTTAAAGATGTGAACATTAGGACCAAAGGTTGCAGTTTCCATACTCTCACTGAGGACTCCTGCCAGAATTTTTTCTAAAATATGGTGGCGGCGTCATGCCAAGTTAAGAAGATCCTTTTCCAATTTTTGTTCTTAAAGTATACAGGCTCCACTTATACATCCTGCAGCATTACCGATACTTGAGGTAGTATTAAACATCTTGCCTTTACTTCACGTAGATCCACCAATATTATAATAAATGTGCAACATCAGATGATTGTGACTCTCCAGTAATGGATTACAGCTTGGGAACATCAAGATGATGATTTATTCCTACACCTCAAACAACGACTGGGTAGCGCACTAACCAGTGGTATCAAAGATACTTGAAATTCTTTTTTCACATGTGCCCATAAACGCACCATACTTCCTTACGGACCATTTAATAATTTTCTTTCCCATTACGGTATTTGGTCTAGCTAATATTGGCAAATATTAACTTATTTATGTGACCCTGAAATATGATTCAGTTTAACTGAAGATTTGCAAAAATTATTTTCTTGTGTAGTGGAATAAACTAAGGGGGTCAGACAAAATCTTTTTTAAAATATATATATAAATAAATAAATAAATAAATATATATAAATATATATATATATATTTATATATATATATATATATATATATATATATTTATATATATATAATTTAATAATTTTCTTTCACATTACGGTATTTGGTCTAGATAATATTGGCAAATATTAACTTATTTATGTGACCCTGAAATATGATTCAGTTTAACTGAAGATTTGCAAAAATTATTTTCTTGTGTAGTGGAATAAAATAAGGGGGTCAGACAAAATCTTTTTTAAAATATATATATAAATAAATAAATAAATAAATATATATAAATATATATATATATATTTATATATATATATATATATATATATATTTATTTATATATATATATATATTAATTAAAGTTATGATATGTTCACTATAAACATTAATAATAAGTATGATAAACATAAAATATACTCTTGGATAATGTGAAATATTAAATATACATGTAGCAATCTTTGAACTTGGACAAAGAAAAATTTAAAAATTATTACGTATTCTCAAACACAAAACATTCCCTGGTACAATGACATGTTGTTTTTTTTAATGTAGCAATGACACAGAGGTAAAGTTAGACATTAATTTTTTTTGTTTTTAAATCACTCTTTCAAAAAAAGTCACTAAAATATAAAGCTTCCATCATGAAAATCATTTGTGCGTTGATTTTTATTTTTTATATATGGGCTGTAAAACATTAACTCAATTTGTTTAAATGATTAAATGGTTAAGCAACATATTTTAAAGTCTCTTTTTATTATTTTGTATTTGTCTGGCATTTTGTTGACTCAGTTCAGCAGAGACTGTTACTCAGTGCAATGATCTCTGCTGCCCATTCGCGGTGGATGTGCCCACCACAAGCACTTAATCAAAGAGTCCAGCCACAACAACAGCAATGTTTTCAGCTTGTTTGGATGGTTTGTAGTCGAGTTTCCACATAAAACTGGTGGTCACCACTAGAACAAAGACAGAAAGTTTTGAAGTGAGTACACAACCATAGCAAAAAGCAGTGGGACAAATAAATCAATCAGAGATGGCCTGGACTACAAATGGTAGGGATAAATAGCGAGAAAGTGGAGCTTCCAATATTTGTTGAGAATTGCATACCATCTTTAAGAGAGTTTCATTATATATTTTAACTATTTCATGTGTCATATATCATAATGTCTTGTATGATATATCCTGTCTTGTATGATATTTTCTAATGCCATTTATGACAAAATATAATGTCATGTATCACGCATCTTATATATCATGTAAGATTACATGCAGTTATTTAAAACTCACATATTTCTCCTTCATGCAGAAACTCCTCAAAACTGGAGCACACCTCAGTGCAGGGTTCCCATGGCTGCAGCTTGACCCGACTCTTGCCCTTCACTTGCATGAACAACAGCAGATCCCAGGTCATGTCCACCTGTCAGATGTCATTGTGAGATGAGTCTGCCGAGCCGATTACTTCTAATCTATTCACATGATATCATCATTGACCACGATCATATGGCCAAGGGTCAAATAGCAATTTAAATGAATAACCAGCAGCTCAATTTGACCGATCAATTTTTATTTTATTCTTTACAGACAAATGAAATATCCATTGAATAACTTTGATAAACAATTTTTTTTTAAAAGTGCAGAGTTGCTGACATGTGCTAACCCGCTGCATAGAATTGTGTTGAGGACTTACAGGCTTGTAGAGTCTACTGCTGTAGTTGGCTGAGATGGACACCCAGCTGGTGGGGAGTAGAGACACGGAGGAGGGGAGGAAGTAGGGGCGCTGGTACAGTTTACGGAAAGCTTTAGCAGCCTCGAAGTTGCAATTTTTCCTGACAAAAAAAACAAACAAACAATGAATTAAATAATTATTGAAATTTGAAAGAAATATGACATCCAATCAGTGGCGTAGCGAGGGTGTTTGGCGCCCGGGGACAAGATTCGCGCCCGGGGACAAGATCCATTTTTAGCGCCCCTTTTTCTTTTGTTCAACTTTCAAACCCATTATTTTCATCAATAAAATATTATCAAAGCACATTTTGACGCCCCTAACTAGCTGGCGCCCGGGGACATCTGTCCCTCCTGCCCCCACCACGCTACGCCTCTGCATCCAATTGTTATTTCCAGGTTTCACTGTGCTGAAAAGGACTATAAATATTTAATTTATATTTACTGTTTTCGGTGGAAAAAAAGTGTCACGTTGGGGGGGGGGGGGGGGTGGTTTCAAGTTCCCCCCAGGCGGTACAATTTCTCGTTTCGCCCCTGAATCTTTCTTTCTTTTTTTTTTTTTAATTTTGACTTCAAGGTAATTTTTTTTTTTTAAATGTTTAGATTTAAGTTGTTTTATTTACCATGGTCACTTTTTAAATATCATGACCATTTGAAACAATTAGAATATTCAGTATTTTATTACATTTGTATCCCCTACAGACACAATTCAAGATGTAAAAAAAAATTTCACCCAAATCATTTCGTTTACACAGATTTCAGAGTCTTTCCCTACAAGACAACGTTTTTTGTGTTTAGAAGTGGTGAAGGGTGGATTTCGAAATCATTTTACTGACCATTTTAATGGAGGATCTGGGCCCTAAAGTGACATGTGAGAGATATTCAAATTAATTTGCACATACAGGTGATACCGTCCTACTAGGGCAATGTTTCCCCAACTAGAATGAAGAAAAGAGAGAGAGACGCCCAGGCTTTAAATGATTTATAATATGTTTCTTGTGGTGTCTGTGTGTTTGTTTGTGTGTGTGTGTTGTCCTGGGGGTAGTCCTCCCCCCCCCCCCCCAACGTTAGGACCGAAGTCGTACGTTACACAGGGTGATGAATGGTAAACTACAGTAAAGTAGATCTGCAGTTCTTATAGTGTTTATAAGAGCTTGGTTTTAATCTAAGGATATTTAAAGATGTGTTCGATGCGTGACTTAAAACTAAACCAGCCAAACTGACCAAATCTTCATCGAAATTATTGACCCGTGTTCAGTTTTGAAATCTGCCAAGGTCAAGGGGTTAAGGACCTCACCAGTGAGCGTAAAACTTGTCCAGTTTGTTGACCCTGGCTAAGCTGAGGACCTTCATGTGATCACCGTTCTTGACACTGCTGGAGAACCCGCAGCTGTCGTGCTGGTTTAGTGCCGTGTTTCCTCTGTAAGTCTGTGGGAAATGACAGGAAAATGACGTCATTTTATTACCCGTACAACCTTCTGGGATATAACAATGCAACCTTTGGAAGGCATGTCTGGCCTGGGATATAACAATGCAACCTTTGGAAGGCGTGTTTGGCCTGGGATATAACAATGCAACCGTTGGAAGGCATGTTTGGCCTGGGATATAATAATGCAACCGTTGGAAGGCATGTTTGGCCTGGGATATAACAATGCAACCTTTGGAAGGCATTTTTTTTGCAAAATTTTTAGCCCCACCCCCATTGCCTGAGATTACATTTTGAAAAGGATGTCAATGAACAACTTTTTAAAAATATTTCTTTTAATAAATCTTCGCGAAGAATGAAGAAAAATAGAAAATGGGCCTATGTGGGATCGTCATAATAGGTTAATGGGATGATCATATTAGGTTTATGGGACAAACTGTTCTTTGTTTTGATATGAAAAAAAATGTTTTAATTAAATTGGTAAAACTGACCTCTGCAAGTTTGAGGATGGTCATGTTTTTGGCCAAAGGCCAGTCCTTCAACCCGTCTGTAACAATGACCGGAACATCCCTTTTGATAAATTCATCCATCAGCTGTCGGCCATTCACCTGAGATACTTTGGACACTCTGTCTACAGCCTCGCATATCTAAAATGCAGAAACAACGTATTCCACATATTGTTTGTAGGTACAAAGTGAGAGTCTACACTGCCGTGTTCAAATACCTTCGTATTATTTCGTCTCATTCATACTTTATAAAAAGTTTTGATCAGAAAATCCGACATAAATACAATAACGAACGATTTATATTTCTCAAAATAACTAAACTATGCCTTAGCCAAACCGGAAGTTAGCCTCACTAAACATAGCACATTTTTGTACCAAGGTCGTACCAATTAATGTGAATTACATAGATGAAATGAACCCATAAAAATGTGACATATGGCCTAACTATCCTCTCACCTCGCAATCCGACAACTGCAGGCCGGTGACGACGTAAAGGGGGTTGTTCACCCAACATGGCGAGTGATAGAGTTGGGTCCAGTCCCACAGTGGCAGGATCTGAAATGATATGACCATTCTCTTATCAGTAGCATGACTCTTCTGTGGCAACTTTTCCCCATGATATCGCAGCTGTTGGTTTCAGTTAATATTTGACCCTCAGCCTACTCTGCTATCATCGAGTGACCAAGTCCTCGTCTATTGACCCTCAGCCTACTCTGCTAGCATCGAGTGAGCAAGTCCTCGTCCATTGACCCTCAGCATACTCTGCTATCATCGAGTGACCAAGTCATCGTCCATTGACCCTCAGCCTACTCTGCTAGCATCGAGCGACCAAGTCCTCGTCCATTGATTCTCATCCTACTCTGCTAGCTATCATCGAGTGACCAAGAACTCGTCCATTGACCCTCAGCCTACTCTGCTAGCATCGAGTGACCAAGTCCTCGTCCATTGACCCTCAGCATACTCTGCTAGCTTTCATCGAATGACCAAGTGCTCGTCCATTGACCCTCAGCATACTCTGCTAGAATCGAGTGACCAAGCCCTCGTCCATTGACCCTCAGCCTACTCTGCTATCATTGAATTACCAAGTCCTCGTCCATTGACCCGCAGCATACTCTGCTAGCATCGAGTGACCAAGTCTTCGTCCATTGACCCTCAGCATACTCTGCTAGCTATCATCGAATGACCAAGTCCTCGTCCATTGACCCTCAGCCTACTCTGCTAGCATCGAGTGACCAAGTCCTCGTCCATTGACCCTCAGCCTACTCTGCTATCATTCAATTACCAAGTCCTCGTCCATTGACCCTCAGCATACTCTGCTAGCATCGAGTGACCAAGTCCTCGTCCATTGACCTTCAGCATACTCTGCTAGCATCGAGTGACCAAGTCCTCGTCCATTGACCCTCAGCATACTCTGCTAGCATCGAGTGACCAAGTCCTCGTCCATTGACCCTCAGCATACTCTGCTAGCATCGAGTGACTAAGTCCTCACTCTGCTAGCTATCATCGAGTGACCAAGTCCTCGTCCATTGACCATTAGCCTACTCTGCTAGCTATCATCGAGTGACCAAGTCCTCGTCCATTGACCCTCAGCCTACTCTGCTAGCTATCATCGAGTGACCAAGTCCTCGTCCATTGACCCTCAGCCTACTCTGCTAGCTATCATCGAGTGACCAAGTCCTCGTCCATTGACCCTCAGCCTACTCTGCTAGCTATCATCGAGTGACCAAGTCCTCGTCCATTGACCCTCAGCCTACTCTGCTAGCTATCATCGAGTGACCAAGTCCTCGTCCATTGAATGCTCTTTTGAGTCGGGATAAAAATATCGTTCTTTAGGGATACTCCCTGCTTAACAATTTTCTAAACAAAATATTCAGTAGGTCAAATTATTCAAATTTGTAGAGGAAATTAGAGAAACAAAGTATGGGAAATACCGAAGAAAAAAGAAGGACGCCACAAAATAACGAACGTGTCGGCAAGAAGCCTTCTTCAGCAAACAAGCAACAGTAAAGACCATATAAAATTAAAAAACAAAACAACTTAGCTGCAATGTAGTATCCGAGAGGACAACAAGAGCTTTCCTTTTACTTAACCTGAGTGCCATTCCCCCACCCTTCCCCCACCCTTCCCCCCCTTTTGTACCCCGTTACGAATGTATAGACTCGCCCATTAAGAATATAATAGTTTGAAGAAAAAAAAAAGGCATCCATATGGAAAACTAGTTTTGAAACAATTTTGAAAAAAAAATTGTTATAATCTTGAAGAATCATGTGTCTCAAAGGGCCCCTCTTGACCACCCACCCTAATCTGCCACTGATCCCACTTTATTGAAGGGAGTAATTATTACATTAGAGCAGAGTTAGAGGTGACGACGTGGGCTCTCGCGCATGTTGACATCTAGTGCCACGAGGTATATTTCTGGTAAAGAAATATTTGGGTACCTAACATGATGATCCCCCTATGTCCCACCTAAAACCCCCTCACGGGGCCAACACTCCCCATCCCCGAGGTGATAAGCTCGTCAATAATTTCAGCCAAACCTCTGCTGTGTCCGGGGAGTTCACCCAAACCTCTGCTGTGTCCGGGGAGTTCACCCAAACCTCTGCTGTGTCCGGTGAGTTCACCCAAACCTCTGCTGTGTCCGGGGTGCTCACCCAAACCTCTGCTGTGTCCGGGGAACTCACCCAAACCTCTGCTGTGTCCGGGGAGCTCACCCAAACCTCTGCTGTGTCCGGGGAGTTCACCCAAACCTCTGCTGTGTCCGGGGAGTTCACCCAAACCTCTGCTGTGTCCGGGGAGTTCACCCAAACCTCTGCTGTGTCCGGGGGATGCTATTTTCATCACGACATGTGGGGTCGGGCTTCAGGGTGGCTTCGGTAGGAGTTGGGGTGGCACGACTGTGAGATAGTGGCGTAAGAAGGGGGCGGTGGTGGTGTTCCGCCCCTGGCAAAACCTTCTTTTTTTTTTCCTTCTATACGGATTTGCGGCATTTTCGGCCAACTTCAGATTTTAAAGCCATTTAAGAACTCAGTGTGCCACTCGTGCCACTCACTGAAAGCAGTGAACCATGAAATCACTTTCTAAAAAATTTTTGAAACCTGAAACTTCATTTAGAAATTTTTCAATCCCTGAAAGTTAACGAAACTCATGCAATGTAGAAACAATTTCTTGTGCAATGATTACAAAGGAAAGCGAGAGGCTTGCAGACAAAAGCGAGAGGTCGCAGTACCTGCTCTATTTATAACGAACCTGCTGATGCCGAATAGGCTTTCGCGCTTTCTTACACGTTGTTTTTTGTTGTTGTTTTTTGTTGTTGTTTTTTTTTAACCCATAATCCGTATTTGAATGAACTCAACTGGTGAATCCGGAGCGAGAGAAAATTAAAAACTCGTGAATCCGGAGCTGAAAAATATTCAGCCTCTTGAATTCGAAATTCCGGTATGATCCGGAAAAGTGGCACTCCTCAACTCACCCTGGGTGGATTATATTATTATTATCTAGATACAGCCTATCCCCATGTTCCCTAGTTTCAGTCAGTTTTAGAGACATTGACCTGCAATCCATTATGGCCACAACATTTATATTGTTTAGCACGGTAACAATTGAGAAAATCACCGTGAAATGTCACGGGCAAAGTTGGGCTTGGGAAATAACTATACGTCTACGGTATAAATAATTGTTTTATCTGTGAACTTGCCATCCCCTTTATTAGAAATATCTTTCATTGATCCGAGTTGTATAACAATGACAATTCAGAAAATATATATATATTATATCTTTTTTTTTTAAACGGGTGTTCTCAAACTTCTTGATCCAAAAAAATCGTCCTAGAATTTAAGCATGAGATGTGTTCTCATTAATTACCTCAAAATGATCTAAAGGTTGCGTTTTCTCTGAACGCAATAAAAAAAAAAGTTCAGACTTCAGAGATTATTTTTTTCCCTTCGATTCTACATGTGTTTAAAGTTTCAATGGTCAAACCAGACCATACTTCAATGATTTCAAAGGATTTAAATCCATTAATTGCTCATACAGCAGCCCTCTTCTGTTTTAATAAATTATCTAACAGGAAGGGATTACAAGTCACATGAGTTTGACATGACCACCATTGATCTCCCTCCTTATCATGTTGTTTCGCTCCCCCCTGGCTGTCCACCTGGGTTAACTCCCTTCCGACTGCCATCTAGCACGTTTTTTTTTTTAAAGGGGGTTTACTTAAGCCCAAGTGGTCAGGTGAAGTCGGGTCTAAACGCTTATCTAAAGGACTAGCCCACAGAGCAAGCAACACAATTGTGAATGCGACGATTCATGTCAAATCTCAACAGCCAACTGTAACGCAGACAAAGATGTCCTTGCATAACGGGGTTTGCACTAAACCAAACATATCATCTTAAAACATAACCATAGCTAACGCAAACGGCAGCTAAAAAATTTAACCAGCCAATAGGACGTTATTATGTATTTCGTGTGCATGCGTGGAAAAAAAATGTTTCAATATGTATCTGAAAGAGAGAACATTGACGATAAAATATATAACCAAACATTGTAACAAGCCAGATCTACAATCAATCGTGAAATTGGTCTACTCTCTACTCTCGTCTTTCCCAGGCAACAAGCAAGACGCATAACTGTGTTCTCTTTAATAATCTCCCTTGGCATAATCGTGCAAAAACAACAACATAACACTAGGGGATAGCGAAGAGAGCAGGCACATCAATGAAATTCCACTTTATTACCTTACACAAAAGTATAAACGGTCGAACATGTAACTGTTGATGTAATTACCACCACCACCACCACCACCACCCCCCCCCCCAAGCATCTTTCCAAAGCTGCGTATGTTGATGCATGAACTTGTACCCTGACATGGCACAATTTTGTGTCACGGAGTCAAGTTTCATTGGCCAACGTCTTGTATAAAATTAGCTGCTATTATTGGGAGATCGATTTGTTTATTGCGGTGCTTGGTTTCCATGGGCTCAGGCCCGCACCTGGGAAAGGGGGGGGGGGTGCAACGATGGCACTTTTCAAGGGTTCGAATTATTAAAATATGAGCACATGTTTGAAACACAAAAAGGGCCCGAACTCTGTAAGCTGCCTCTGCCTGGGGCCCAGAATTTCCTAGGCGCGGGCCTGATAGGCTTCAGTCCACGTTTCATCTTTACAAATATGGTATGTAGTTTTAGATGACGTCAGGGCTCAAGTCCCGCAGGAACGCCTGGGAACGTCGTTCTTGTACCTTTTCTTATTTTATATAGAGGTGTTTTTTTTTTTTTTTTTTTTTTTTTTTTTTTTTTTTTTTTTTTTTTTTTTTTTTTTTTTTTTTTTTTTTTTTTTTTTGTTTTTTTTTTTTTTTTTTTTTTTTTTTTTTTTTGTTTTTTTTTTGCTAAAATATAAATGCATTTTAATTGTGTCTTAGGTGAGTTCTCACACTTTTTTTCAGGACTTGAACCCTGAATGGGGTTTACGTGTAGTAATAAATGTGGTACATGATGTTGGATATAAAAGGGTTATATAAACTTTGACGAATAGACCATTCGGAAAAAAGATTTACAGCTGCTAGGAATCATGCATGGAAAAGAAAAACATCGGTTAGGTCTGAGTGGAAGGAAGTGGTGAGGCAGAGCAAAGCCCTACATGGGCTGTAGTGCCGCAGGGATGGATGGATTTAAAATTAGTTTTATAATTCTCTAAACTTTCGAGCTTATATTTTGTTGTTTTATTTCGGGGCCCCCCTCAGCCCCGACTGTGGCCCAAGCAGCCCAGTGTCTTGAGACCCGTCACCCTTCCTCTCCACATGGTCCAGCCATATTTCAATACCCTCTCTCTCTCTCTCTCCTTCTCTCTCTCCACCCACCACCAGTCCTCAGACCACAAGTACGAATCACTGAAGCTTGTGACGTCGACATCTCTAAGACTGAATAAAAACTAATACCGGAAAATTGAACGTGTAACCGTGTTTTGTAGTTGAGCTAACGGACGAAAAAAAGAAAAGGGGGGATGGAGATGGGGAGAGGGTGGGGTGGGAGAGAGGATGTTGTGGAGGAGAGGGTTGACATGGGGAGGTGGAGAGGAAGTAATGGGGGAGATGGGGTGGGGAAGAGGATGGAGGGGTGGAATGGGGAGAGGGTTAAGTGAGGAGAGGGTTATGTGAGGAGAGGGTTGTAAGGAGGGGGGATTGTGGAATGTTTGAGGGTGGAATGGAGAGAGGATGGAGGTGGTGAGAGGTGGAATTTGGGAGAGAGTGGCGTGGGGAGAGGATTGAATAGGGGAAAGGGTTGAATGGGGGAGAAGGTTGAATGGGGGAGAAGGTTGAATGGGGGAGAGGGTGGAATAGTGAAAAAAATGTGGGGAAGAGTGTGGGATGTGTGAGAGGATGGAGGTGGGGAGAGAGGGTTGGAATGGGGTAAAGGGTGATATCGAGAGGGGTGGAATGGAGGTTGAGGTCAATGTGGAGAGCGGAAAACGGTGAGTTTTGGCCTGTGTACGTGTGTTGCCACTTGTTCAACATCAGTACGGTACTTGACACTGCTAGACACACATTTGTTTCATGTGTTTGATATAGATTTATCAAGAGTAACTTTGCTGCTTGCTCCGACTGTCGTTTGAAATTGTTACATCGATATAGGCGGCAGCTGAAGTTTATTGTTTTCACCTTTGGCATTTTGTGTGTTTTTCACCACAGAAGCTCTTGAAAAAAATTACATACAACAAAGCCCGACCGCATCTTTGAATATAGTTTATCTTTTAAAAAAACTTTCACCGCAAACTTCACTTGAGTTGAATAGTGTTGGGGGGGGGGGGGGGCCTTGGGGAACGGGGGTGAGGGTGGTCGCTTGAGAGACCAGAGACGACGGATTCGAATTCTTTGAATTGATGAAGAAATATTAAAGATTTTTTAAACGTAGCCTTCAGCACGAGTAGATTTAAAACGGGAGTTGAAGAATTTATTGTAGGTGGAATATGAGCCCATAGCGGTTACCTGAAAAATATAACCGAATCACGATTTAAAATGAACTTTTTCCTTCATTAAACAATTTAATTTAGATGCGTGATTGTTAAACTTGCACCCAGCTTTCATCAACTGCATCACAGCCTTTTTTGACTATTTAAATGTTATGTCATGTTCTCACTCTCTCACTCTCTGTCTCTCTCTCTCTCTCTCTCTCTCTCTCTCTCTCTCTCTCTCTCTCTCTCTCTCTCTCTCTCCCCCTCCCTCTCTCTCTCTTTCTCTCTCTCTCTCTCTCTCTTTCTTTCTCTCTCTCTCTCTCTCTCTCTCTCTTTCTCTCTCTCTCTCTCAAACAAACCCTTCATATTTAAAAAAAAAATTAAGATGTCTTGTTTCTCACCTTAACCCTATCAAATGTTTGCATTGCTTCTTAAAAATCTCTCTCTCTCTCTCTCTCTCTCTCTCTCTCTCTCTCTCTCTCTCTCTCTCTCTCTCTCCCCCCCCCTCTCTCTCTCTTTCTCTCTCTCTCTCTCTCTCTTTCTTTCTCTCTCTCTCTCTCTCTCTCTCTCTTTCTCTCTCTCTCTCTCAAACAAACCCTTCATATTTAAAAAAAAAAATTAAGATGTCTTGTTTCTCACCTTAACCCTATCAAATGTTTGCATTGCTTCTTAAAACTGTCTCTCATATTTTTCAATCCATCCACGTGCTGCTCAACATTCCTTTAACTTTAAAATCCCTCTCAATTTTACTCACTCTCTCAAACAACCTTCTTATCCCATATTCTCCTGTAGCACTGTTATCTCTGTCCCTTCTACGTCCCACCCATCCTCCTCAATTTCAATGATCGACTCCACATAAAATGTAATTACATCGGCACTTCCTGGCTAGGACTGTCAGCTATTGATTGCCCCCCTCCCCCCAAACGGAACATAATTATCGTGTTTCATCTTAAGACGGCTGTCTAGGAGCTCCTCCCTTATAAAACTGTATTATCAACCTGCCTCCCCCCACCACTTACTCTCAAACTCGATAACATGTGGGGAAATTGAGGTTTAATGTCCTCAAACTGATATTGGATACATAAATAAATGGACATCATGTTCATCTGGCAGCCGTTAGGACACCACAAGAAATATTGCTTGCCATGTGGTGTTGGACCCGTTCTGGGCGAAAGCTGTTCTGATTTGGACAGGGGTGGAAATTAGTTGGGTGAAAGTGGTACTGAATTGGGTGAAGGTGGAAATTATTTGGGTGAAACTGGTACTGAATTGGGTGAAGGTGGAAATTAGTTGGGTGAAATTGGTACTGAATTGGGTGAAGGTGGAAATTAGTTGGGTGAAAGTGGAGCTGAATTGGGTGAAGGTGGAAATTAGTTGAGTGAAAGTGGTACTGAATTGGGTGAAGGTGGAAATTAGTTGGGTGAAACTGGTACTGAATTGGGTGAAGGTGGAAATTTGTTGGGTGAAAAAGGAGCTAAATTGGGTGAAGGTGGAAATTAGTTGAGTGAAAGTGGTACTGAATTGGGTGAAGGTGGAAATTAGTTGGGTGAAACTGGTACTGAATTGGGTGAAACTGGTACTGAATTGGGTGAAGGTGGAAATTAGTTGGGTGAAACTGGTACTGAATTGGGTGAAGGTGGAAATTATTTGGGTGAAACTGGTACTGAATTGGTTGAAGGTGGAAATTAGTTGGTTGAAACTGGTACTGAATTGGGTGAAGGTGGAAATTAGTTGGGTGAAACTGGTACTGAATTGGGTGAAGGTGGAAATTAGTTGAGTGAAAGTGGTACTGAATTGGGTGAAGGTGGAAATTAGTTGGGTGAAACTGGTGCTGAATTGGGTGAAGGTGGAAATTAGTTGTGTGAAAGTGGAGTTGTATTGGGTGAAGGTGGAAATTAGTTGAGTGAAAGTGGAGCTGAATTGGGGGTAGGTGGAAATTAATTGAGTGAAAGTGGGGCTGAATTGAGTGGAGGTGGAAATTATTTGGACGGAAGCAGGGGAATAAGTAGAGTTTGTGACGACTGGGGCAATCCTTGATTTTGCCACACACCATACAGAATGCACTTATTAAATAAGCGATATAAAGTATAATGTGTTTGAAAAATGACACCCCAAAATAAGTGGCACCTGGGGCGGACACCCCCCCTCTTCTTACGGTCAGGGGGGTGGAAGGGTACTAGTGTAGTTAGGTCGACGAGAAAATTATACTTTACTGAACGTGGTATGGAGTTTCCTGGAAATGTAAGTAGTTGAGCTGAAAGTGTAGCCCACTGAATTAGAGGAAGTAGATAGCCCTCTGAAGTGGGGTAAGTGGGGTAAGTAGGTGGCCCACTGAGTTGGGATAAGTAGATAGACCACTAAACTGAGGGAAAGGAGTAGCCCACTGAGTTGGCAGAAGAAGGTAGCCTACTGAGCTGAGGGAGGTGTCACCCGTATTGAATTTGGTGGAGGGGCAAAAGTTAGGTGGACGTGGCATGGAATTAAATAGTGGTTGGGCAAAGGTCGCACTGAGTTAAATGGAGGTGGCCATTCGTTGGGGTAAAGTGGCATTTTGATGCTTTGCATTAAGATATATTAAATAATAATATATTGCAGCATAAAATATCAGTGTAGGCCTCAGGGGTGTACACATTTCCTTTCATTCATAGAACCAGGGGCGGATGGCGACTAAAAATACTGTTTTCCAGGCCGGAGACAAAGGGCCCAATCAATGGCAAGATTTCATTTTATTTTTAAAAGATATTAACAAAAATGCATAACTGTAAGTTGCCCACTTGCCATCGGTAAGCGGACACCCGGGCGAACGCCCAACTGCATAGAAATATAACTGCCAAAAATAGTTCTCAAACTGAGAAAGGTTTAGCAAATCAAGTTATAATTGTATAATCATACGATTTAGTTCTAATTTAAGTATATGATGCGGACAAAACTGTGTTGTTGATCATTTTGTTGTTGTAACTTTTTAGTTGTTGTCTTTTTTTCAAAGAACGATCATCAAACAAGCAAATCTTTACAGTGTCTGAAATTCCTTAAAATCTTCCGTATTTTCATTTAGCTTAAACAAATATTTTTGGCATGTCTATCATCGCTTTTCAAGATTGCGTTCAGCTGACTGATCGATTTCAAATTTTCTATGGCAATTTAAACAGTAGGCCTATTTAAAAAAATAATAAAACCTTGTAAACAAGATGAGGCGACTTACCTGAATGGCTCCTTGCTTGCTAAGGGCGCTGGCTAGCCTGTAGGCTGGATCGTAACGAAATAAAAAAAGAGTAGCCACAATCATTGTAGTTAACGCCACAGCACGCCTCTTCCACGCCTTTCCACTGACCCATATCGTTGAACTTATGCTGTTAGTATCTTTATCAAAGAAAGGTTTGGCAAGATGTTCGATTTGGGAAGCGCTGTATCCCGATTTAGTGCAGAAGATATGAATTTTTCTAATCTCTCCGTCGATGAAATCAAGCTTCTCCTGCAGAGTCATTTTCTTGCTGAAGTCAGCTACTTCGCTGGGATCGGGACAGTGAAGCTCGTCAGTCATCGACAATCTCACCTTGTTTTTACCTGCCTCCGACAGAGCAAACCGTCTTAAAGTTGCCATCATTGATTTCAGATTCGATCCGCAAAGCAATTCTTTTCTTCTGTGAATAGCTAACTGCGGCAAGCGTATTATCGTGAAAATAGCTGCACGAAAATAGATTCGGGTTTTTAACCTACTATTTACACAATTTACGTTGTTCCGCACATGATTGTTACTTTCGGTTCACATAAACACACATGGAAGGCAATAAACTATTTTGGAAACTTGGTGCATTCGCTAAGTTCGATTTCAAAAGATTTGGTCAAGATGCTGAACGTTTAAAGGTTTGATATTTAAAGAAACATTATCAAAGAAACTGTAACTAATATTATAGAACTTCAAAGCAGTCAGGTCAACTCAGCGGATCGGTTGGCATTCGACTTAATTCGAATGATTCGCCTGTGGCCTGTGATTCGATGATTCAGATTCTGATTCGGCAATGTGAAGAGAATATGCAGTCTGTTTTCCTTGTTGGGTTAAACCTAAAATATATATATTTTTACTAATGATATAAAAATATAGCTATCGCAATCCCCCCCCCCCCCCTATAAATCCTTGCGTAGGGCTCTCTATATATTTTAAAGAAATATAATTTATTTGTCTAAATTGGCTTTTTATTTATCTTATTCTAATTATTTATATTAGAGTCTTATAATATAAATTATCAATCCAGAATGCCAAGCCCCTCTACCCAATTGCGTAGAATGGGGGTGTGGAGGGGGCGATTCCGGGGGTTTTCAGGGGTGTGAGGAAATGGGATTTAATATTAATAACAGAAGAAAATAGCTTGAAATATAGTATAGGATGATAGACTATAGTATAGGCCTAAGTTAAGTGATAAGTGTTTTTATACTTTCAACATTTATTCATTTACATTTTGAGATTATCCTTGATATAATAACTCTCTTTGCAATTCAATAAGTATATGAGAAGTCCATTATTTTCATATGTCATATATTAAAATGGATTTTCACTTTGGCAGTGTCTACACGTCCGGTGCGCTGGACGTATATCTCCCGCACTATTTGTCCGGTGACCAAGTCACATGACCGCGTAACAAAGTGGCGAGAGATATCTTGTCAGTGACCGCGAATGATTCAAAACTATTGTTAATTTTAAAATCTATTTCTCTACCAAGTAATGTACTGAGTATCTTGAATGCAAATAATAGAAAAAAACTTAAGTGAAAGTGTCTTGTAAACATTTTTGTTTAGTTTGTTATTTGAGTTTGTGTACCAGTAATCCATAAAATAAATTAGGGGCCAGTATTCAGAATGGAGTAGGCAACCAATAAAAGTAAAAGATTTCATTTTAAATTGTTTAAATTGCTACAAAATATTTTAAAACTTCTCATGCAACTACTGTTGCTGATGAACGTGATAATATAACGATAAGAAAACGATCCCATACTGGGCATTGATCCACAAATATAATTATTATATCGTGAAGCGACCATTCTACCTCAAAACCACACAAGATCTCCAAGTTAGCCAATGCGTTCGAAATAATGAGTACTAGTCGTCCGGCGGTCTCGTGACATGCCCGCCGGACGTATATCACGCGCACTATTTGCCTGCGCGCCGGACATGTAGACACTTTGTTTCACTTTAGTAGGGGTGTGAGACTTGTAAAACAATTAGTAAGAGATGCAGGACTTTATATAATAATCATAATATATATCAATTGTATGATAATCATGTTTAAATTATTTGATGACCATTATTTTGTTATTATATTTTAGGTCATACGACATAAACCAACTGTAGCTGATTTGGAAAATGGCAAAGCAAAAGACTTAAAAGAGGAAAAAAAACTTTCTACAGAGGCTACATCAAGTGTACATAATAACAAAAAAAACAAGAAGAAGAAGAAGAAAGCAAAGAAAAAGACATCACAACTGGCTTCTATGAAAAATGAGGAAGAGGTAATTTTGTTAAAATGAACACATTTATCAACCAATCTCTAAAATATTAAATTGACTATAATAAAGTATGGCTTTAGATCAGGCCTGCACAACTCAAACTGTAAGGCGGGCTGTAATACTTTATTAAAAATTTGTGCGAGCCAAAAGAAAATTGGACGGGTCTATCGCGGGCCAAAAGAAAATAGGACAGGGGAAAAAGCTATTAAGAAAATAATAAGAATAGAGAATATTTGTTACTTCGCGGGCCGCAAATTGGGTGCTGGTGGGCCGTATGTTGTGCAGGCCTGCTTTAGATAATCTTTATTTCATTTACTATTTATACTATTACTTACTTGTTAAATTATTCCTCTGCTTAACATTTATTTTTTAAAGATTCGTCATTTAAGAAACAAACATCATATTCACACGAGTGGCTCAGATATACCTAATCCACTGAGAGATTTTGATGAATTAAAGATCATATATGGCGTGAAGGATGTAGTACTACACAACATAGAGGAACAGGGTTACAAAGAACCAACAGGAATACAGAGGCAGGCTATTCCAGTAATGATGCAGGTTGGTTTGTCTATTAATGACAAAAATTTTCAATAAATCGATAAAGGGGATGTAAATTTTGTGTTCATAGAAAGAAAAAAATAACAAATTATATTAAGCAGTTTTTAATAACAAAATTATCAGCTGTTGATTTTGAGGTGGATAGATGATTTGAAATAATTCACATATATTAATATTATCTAAAGTTTAATTTGCTGATATTCAATTAAACTGTGTTGTTATTTGTCCTTGGTGACTATGACCAAGGCAATTTTTGACTTGCAGTAGCGTTGACTTGAGCTGTATTCTTGTTTAAAGTGAAGGAGCTTTGCCCAATTCATCAGTCTCACTCTCTCGTCCTTGCCTATCTTATCCAATGGCAAGACTTAGTCAAGAGGACTGGAAATAGAGAAGGATGCAGTAGATGACCAGTAGCATGTGTATGTTTCACTGTGCTCTTTATGCGTTCTACATTGCAGGAGTTTTTGGAGTTTCCATTGCGTTAATGTCATGACGCCTACAGGACTCCATCTCCGGATTGGATTTCAAAGTTTGCTTTCTCTTAGATGAGTTGCTATCCAAGGTTAATGAGTCGAATCCACCCGGGTTACTGTGATGTTTTTGCTAGTCGAGGCATTTACTGGAGATTGAAATCCAGTTTGCTTGCTTGTGTTTGCCTCCTAGTTAAGACTGTTCGGCTACCTAGCACCCAATCAAACTGTATTTGCTATATATCAAATTTCAACATTTTCATGTGGGTGTCACACTTCTTAGACTTTCATCATTTTGGGATGCATTCTTGCATACAGGTTTGGTGATACACAAACTTTGTACATCTTTGATACACAGACTAAATACGTATCTGGTAAGCAGGCACAGTTATTGAAGGACTCTTTCCTTTTACATTCATGTATCATATGATTTGATTGTGTGGAATTCTCATCAGGGTCGTGACTTGATGGCTTGTGCACCAACGGGATGTGGTAAGACAGCTGCATTCATCATTCCCATTTTGCATCACTTAAAAGCACCACAATCAGATGGCTTTCGTGCCCTGATATTGGCCCCAACACGTGAGCTGGCAAAACAGGTATTTAACTATGTTTCAGACCCTCAATTATTCTATGTATGTTTTTTAAAAAAAAGCTCTACAGTTTTTTAAAATTCCTATTTGAATGTTTGATTTTTAGAATTAATTTGCTAGAGTTTTTTTTTTAATCTCTTATACCATAAATTTGTTTCACTTAAGTGTATTAGTTTGATAAGTTAATTAGAATTATAGTAATTTAATTTGAAAATATTGTAAGCATAATATCTAAATGTAGTTACCAAGTAGTTAACACAATCAGATTAATAATTTTATTATGAAAACATAAAATAAATATTGGGAAGTTAATATGTGTGTGAATTTAAAAAGTTAAACACTAATTATGCATCTTAGATGTTGTTCCTTTAATTCATAATAAATTTGATTTTTTTTTCTGTTTTATAATACATAGACTTTAAGAGAATTCCGCAAGTTGTCCAAAGGCCTAGGATTAAGGAGTTGTTACATTGAGAAAGAATCAACTGCTTTGAAAAAGTCCAAGGAAAATTTTGGTATGTTCAAATGATTAAATATCTTTATTTTTAATGTATTTGAAGAGATTGTTTTGCTGGAGTGGAGGTAAAGGGAATTTAAGTCAGACAGTCTGCATTATTTGCTAAGGAAACCAAGTTTTTAATGTCATAAATATCAAAGAAAAACTTTGATGCCAGCATACATCAGGCATGGCACACATAACAACCGTAACACTAATTGCATGTAAATATAAAATAATACATCATTTTTTTTTGTATACCTCTGAGTTTGTGAATTGGGAGCCGTAGAATGGCATCAGGCCATCCCTGATATGAAGTAACAGCTTTGCTTTTTATGAACTTTTAATTAATTGGTTGTTTTTCCTCTCCAGACATTTTGGTGACAACTCCCAACAGACTTGTGTACATGTTACAGCAGTCCCCACCCATCCTCTCAATCAACAAGTTAGTATGACATCACACAATTAACAGCACTTGTTAATCATATATTATTTATTTTATTAATTAAAAAGATTTTTTTTTTTGCTGGTTTCTTTTTTTTTTAAAATATAATTTTTATTTCAGTTTGTTTAGGTATCAGTTTTCACTCCTTGTAAGTAATGTTATAAAAAAAACTACACATTAAATGAAATTGTCTCAGGTAGGGCCAGTGTGGGAATAAGGTGGAGAGGGTAAATAAGGGTTTTGAGATGATAGAATGTATGGGTAGGGAGATGGTGGTTGGATTGGATGGTAGGGATGTGGTCAGGGGGTACACATAAAAATTGTCTTTGGTGACATTAGATTTGCTAGTGTTGTGATGAATTATAACATTGTTATTTTAAATTTTAGTGTTGAGTGGCTGGTGGTTGATGAATCTGACAAATTGTTTGAGGCAGGCAAGAGAGGTTTTAGAGATCAGGTAACAAAAACATAAAATATATTCTAAAATCTGATAAATTAAAAATATCAAACGCAAGGGCATAAGGAGAAATTGAATAAAAAATCTTTTACTCCAAGACAGAAAAAAATAATTATGATTTTTTTTTTTTCTTAATGAGAATGTTAAACTTGAGTTGTAAAATTTAAGCTAAGATGCCTTTCTATGTTGTTTGAAAGTGTTGTGAATATTTTTTTTTAACTCTTCGTCTGTCACTGTCAGCTTGGAGCTATCTACAAGGCTTGCAGCTCACCTAAAATCCACAGGGCCATGTTCAGTGCCACATTTGCTCAAGATGTTGAAGAGTGGTGTAAGCTGAACCTCGACAATGTTGTGCAGGTGTACATTGGAGCCAAGTGAGTTAAATAATACAGGATACTGCAAGTGTACACATCATTGCTGAAACTTTTGCTGGCAATAATAGTAATTTTCTTAATTTTGTCAAAATGCTTTTATCTTAAATTGGAGTTAATTTAGTTAAATACTATTACTAAACTAACAAATGACACTCAGATGTTTTGTTTTAGAAACAAACAATGATCAATATATGTGCATCAATGAAAATGTATGAAATTGTTTTGAATTTCCTCTAGAAACATTATTCGTTACATTATTCGGCATCCTTCCGTCTCGTGAGACGATGGTGCATCACCGTTGGGTTGGGTTGCATTTTCTCGAGTGGCTGTGCAGTCCTATCCTTGAGTGACAGTCTTTACCACAGTTTTTACACACGAGTTCCGTGCTTCTAAATGTTTTGGCCTTTCTCCTAGCTCTTCTGTCTGCAGCCTCTTCCATTCTTCGCTCCTCGGCTACCATGACGCCCTCTTTGACAACTGTGCGCCACGTAGATCGGTCTTTTGCCTTACACTCCCAGTCACTTGTATGTATTAACCGACGAAAGTACAGGGAAACTGTCTGTAGAAATTTAGCGTCTGCAGGGCGACCTGTTTTCCTCTTTCCAGAAGCAAGTTCACCATATAGGAGGTCTTTCGGAATGCGGCCGGGACTCATTCTTTTAACATGACCTAGCCATCTCAGGCGTCTTTCACTAAGGATTGTGAACATGCTTTGGGTATTCGCACTCATTAGGACCTCACTATTAGTCACTTTTTCTTGCCATTTAATACCAAGGATGCGACGCAGGCATCTCATGTGGAAGCTATTAAGCTTGCGCTCTTGGGATGTATAGGTGGTCCATGTCTCGCTCCGGTATAGCAGTGTACTGATGACACAAGCTCGATAGACGCACAGTTTGGTTTTCTCCGTTAGCTTGGTGTTTTGCCAGACCCGTTTATTTAGTTTAGCCATTGTGGCAGCTGCCTTGCCGATTCTGCTGTTGATTTCTTCTTCAATGGACAGTGTATTGGAGACCTTGGACCCCAAGTAGGTGAAGCTGTCCACAACCTCCAAGTTTTCATTATCGATTTTTATGTTAGGTGGAGGTCGAGTGTCTTGGGCCATGATGTTTGTCTTTTTCAAGCTGATTTGCAGACCAAATTCTTTGCAGGCATTGGAGAAGCTTGACACGAGCTGTTGCAAACCAATTTCTGTGTGTGCTGTTAGTGCCGCATCATCCGCAAATAGTAGCTCGCGAATTAGGACATCTGTCGTTTTGGTCTTGGCTCGGAGGCGGGCAGTGTTGAAAAGTCCTCCATCAGCTCTGGTGTGTAACCAGATTCCCTCACTGCTATCCTTGAATGCGTATCGAAGTAGTACAGAGAAGAATATTGCGAACAGTGTTGGTGCGAGTACACAACCTTGTTTAACTCCGCTGCTGACTGGAAAGGCTTCTGACTTGGCTCCATCGAACTGCACTGTACCCTGCATATTTTCATGGAACTCTCTGATGATGGCAAGTAGGTGAGGGGGACAGCCGATTTTTGCCAGTATTTTGAATAGCCCGTTGCGACTGACGTAATCAAAGGCTTTTGTAAGGTCCACAAAGGCAATGTACAGTGGCATCTGCTGCTCTCTGCATTTTTCCTGGAGCTGTCGTATGGAGAACACCATGTCTATGGTAGACCGCCCAGACCGGAAACTGCACTGAGATTCTGGATAGACACGGGATGCTAGACTCTGTAAACGTGTTAGTATGACACGGGCAAAGGCCTTTCCTACAATAATAATTATTGCAATCACTCCTATCACCTTTGTTTTTATATAGTGTCACTATATTTGCATCCTTTAGGTCTTGGGGGATGTAGCCCTGTTCCCAGCAGAGGGACAGAATCTCGTGCAATGGTTGGAGTAAAGCTATCTTACCACTTTTTAGAGCCTCTGGTGGTATTCCATCATCCCCAGGCGCTTTTCCACAAGCTAGGCTATCAATAGCTTTGCTCAGCTCTTCCTGTGAGGGCACGACATCAAGTTCTTCCATGCGTGGCATATCTGGTATGTCATCCAGAGCGGTGCTGGAGACTGTGGTAACTGTTGAATACAATTCCAGATAATGCTCAACCCACCGTTTTAGCTGTGCTGCCCGGTCTTGGATAATTTCTCCATTTTTGGACTTAAGAGGAGCAACTTTGGACGTCAAGGGGCCAGTTGCCTTTTTGATGTTTTCGTACATTGCTTTTATCTTAAATTGGAGTTAATTTAGCTAAATACTATTACTAAACTAACAAATGACACTCAGATGTTTTGTTTTAGAAACAAACAATGATCAATATATGTGCATCAATGAAAATGTATGAAATTGTTTTGAATTTCCTCTAGAAACACTGCCACCAATACAGTGGACCAGAGACTTGTATTCACTGGGGATGAAGGTGGCAAACTGATAGCTTTCAGGAATCTCATCAGAGAGGTTGGAAATGTCTTATTTTAATTAAACCTCATATTGCAGAGTTTAAGGGGTCATTTCTTTTATTATTATAAATTTATTAAAGATGAATTTTTAAAAAATGTAAGGTTTTCCCCCGGAACAAAAATAATTTGCAGTAATTTTTTACACGCCTAAACAGCACCTCATTATTGCACCATCAAACACTCTTATGACTGACCTAAAAAATACCTCAAATCATCAGCATTTCTCTAACAATTAGCTCACAACATATCTCTATTTCATAAATTCTTACCTGACTCATGCACATACATTAAAATAAATAGTTTTATGCCCAATAAATTCAAAGGATTTTAAACTGAATTTATGTTTCATTATCAATTATTCATAAATTATTTTCATAAGAACACTGCCAAGTTGTTATTCCATATTTACACTTTGGTCGCCAGGGAATCTCCCCACCTGTGCTAGTTTTTGTCCAGTCCAAAGAGCGTGCCAAGCACCTGTATACAGAACTGATGTATGACAACATTAATATTGATGTCATCCACTCCGACAGACCACAAGTGCAGAGAGATGATGTCATCAAAAATTTTCGAATAGGACAAACGTGGGTGCTGATCTGTACCGAACTCATGGGTAGAGGCATCGATTTCAAGGGGGTTAATCTTGTCATCAACTATGACTTTCCTACAAGTGCCATCAGTTACATTCACAGAATTGGTGAGTTTGTTGACCTTTTTATTGCCCTATTAAATGTTACAATTGATGTTACCAAAAATGTCAACTGGTTTAAATTCAGATAGTGCATTACAACATGGAAAGGGTGATTTTTTTTGTGTGTTTTTTTTTAGTCCTAGCTCCAAGCTAGGCATTGAAGTCATGTCAAATTTTGCCTACCTTATCCTTATATATTTATTTACATCCTCCATTTCAAATTAAGCCAACACAGCAAATAAAAACAACTGAAAGTAAAAACTATTGAGGAAAAGGAACAAGTTGTAACAGTAACAAATTATGTTTGGAGGAGTTAAAACTTTCAAAAAACTGAATTTCTGTGTGTTGCAGGTCGAACTGGGCGAGCAGGCAGAACTGGGAAAGCCATCACGTTTTTCACAGAGGAAGACAAAGTCAATTTGAGAAGGTAAAGGCAAATGTTACTTACACATGTGCATTTAAAGTTTCCTACATAAGTGAATGGAAACTGGAGACAATCTTTGAAAATTGGATGTTTTTAACTGTACTAACTGTTTAGGTAAAAGTGGGTGCTTTTGTTAATTGTGTTTAGTATGTACTGTACTCATAAAATTTCAATTTATGGTGAAAACACTTTTACAGAAGAGCTGAAAAGAAATAAGACTGTAAACAATGATTTAATGGGGGCAACCTGCAATATATAAATTATCATTTATTTTTATTTGTAATATTGTTTTATAGTTTTTTATAGATTATCTGATCAATTTCAAACTTGAGTTTTGCATTTATTAAAATAAAAAAGAAATTCTATTTTTTTAGCATTGCCAACATGATACACCAGGCTGGATGTCCTGTCCCTGAATACATGTCAGCTATTAAAAAACCTGCAAGGTAAGTAAAAGTAAATTTTTTAATTCTTGTATTTTTGTAAATTTAGAAACACCAACATAGAAATTTCATCAATATGCTACGTTGTTTATCTATTTAACCAACATTTTTTGTTTAGAGATTTAATGGTTTACTTATTAATTAAAGTACTTTAAATCCCTTTCATTTTTTTGTTTCGTTAATTGATGTTAAATACTGAGTAACTTTTTAGAAAGTTAGGATCGGACAGAGGAAGAGTGATGAAAATTTACGTTGCTCATGTATTGATGAGTAATGATTTTTTTTTTAATGACTTTAACTTTGACCCCAACTGTATAAATTCGACCACCCCAATGTAAAGTAAAGTCCTGTCTTTTGTTTTCAAGCCTCAACATGCCTTGTTCCACTAATTCTTTAACACTGCTTGAATGCAGATTTCCATATTTCATCCTGTAAAGTAGAAATGCTTAGGATATGCAATTAATATTATTAAATAGAAAAGAAGGAAAAAGGAAGTTATTACAACCTGAATCCCCAAGTGTTCTCATCTAGTCTCTGAAGTTCATAAAACCCATTTAATTGTCAACACTGATCCCAGACAACTACGTCATAATGGATTGAGCTCGTTATTTCATCAACCTTTACAATTTTATTTCTCTTCTGCTGAAGACAAGAGCACAAAACTTTAGAGGATAAAATGTCAATGGTGTTTTTATGATTTGAATAAAATCTTTTGACAGGCAGGAAAGGAAGAGGCTGGCCAACCATGTGCCAGAGAGAAAGCCAATCCTTACCATGGACCCACGAGAGTACGAGAGGATCAAAAGGAAAAGGTGAGCCAGAGATGCATCACCATTTCAAATGAGGGGAAGACAACACTTAAGCGACTCGTGTGGCAGCAAATTCACTTGTCAAATATTTATCAGAGTTAAATTTCATTTAGTATTAGTGTTTACAGGTCTCTATTGGGGCATCCCTTTTGAATCATTTAATGTGTGGTGTGTTCCTGGACAAATATTGGTGCACAGCACACCTTACTTTATTTGTAAAGTCTTCATGGGCTGACATTAATGTTATTCATTTCCATTTGCTCAAGCTGTAGTGAATATTTGGAGCTTGCAACTAAAGAAGTTAGTATATGACTATGGGGATCAGTGTCTGTTTTAATTAAAGGGCAAGGCTCTTCAATCATGGCAACAGAATTTCAGCCTGTATTTTACGTCATATATTTTTTTCTATTGCATATATTTAATAGTTTGTTACTTTTGTAAAATATCATCTTTTGCTCACAGATATTTCTTCAATTTTTATTTTCAGAAAATTCAGCCATAAACCTAAGCAGAAATCTGTCAAAAGAGTGAAAAAAGACAGTTGATAAATTGTGTTTTCTGATTTGAATATGTGATTGATTGGCATAAAAGATATTAAAAACTTTTTTTTTCAATAAATGGCTGCTTTTGGTATATGATTTGATGGCCTTAGATATGAATGTTTGTCAGGAAAGTAGTGTGAAATTATTTTGAAAATGTGAACAATAGCCATGCTTCTACCGAACTCTTATTTAGTGCAACTGTTGTTGTTGGTCCTTGAATTGAGCCGTATTTTGTTAAAATTTAGGGAGAGTTGCTCAATTCATCAGCCTTGCTCTCTCATCCTTTCCTATTTGATCCAATGGCAAGACTTGGTCAAGACGACTGGAAATAGACCAGGATGCAGTAGATGACCAGCAGTGTGTGTGTGTTTCACAGTGCTCTTTATGCAGTGACGTTGCAGGAGTTGTCTGAATTTTCATTGTGTCAATGTCACAACGCCTGCGGGGCTGATTTCAGAGTTTGCCTTCCCTCGGATGAGTTGCCATCCAAGGTTAATGAATCCCTTCCACCCGTGATTCTGGTGATATTTTATCTTGTCCAGGCATTTTCTTGGAATTGAACTCCAGTCCACTAGCTTTTAACTACCATTACTTGATCCATTTACGCAAAGTAAAGTTTCCTTTTTTTTTTTTTAATGAGCTTTTTAGTCTGAACTAGACCTTAATAAAAATTTCATCCATTTAATTAATAATTAACCCTAATCAGAAACAAAAATTATTAATTCTGAATCAAGAAATTTTTGTAGAGATAAAATGTTTGTTTTTTTAAAAGCTTGTATCTTTTTACTGCTGACACATGAAGCTATTTTCTGATACTTGTATCAATACCCTGACCATTCAGTTTATTCAATTATTCAAGGGTGGAATAAACCATAGTAATTTTTTTTTATTCATTTACTATGTTGTATATGATTTTAATGATTCCCTTTATTCAGAATATAAGGTCAGATGGGTAGTTTTTTTGCCTGACACAGAATTTGACTGTGATAGTGAGTAATGTAAGGGGTGGTCTCCCTAACAAAACAGGGCTGTTACTACCTCCTGTTACCCTGGGAGGAATGCGGTGTTTCTCAAAGTGGTGCCCCCACGAACTGACCCCAGTTAGGGAACAATACTTTGCCTGTCCACACACCATTAGACAAGAAAGTAGACACCAGTTTAAATAATGACGGCTAGCATTTAATGGTAATATATATATATATATATATACACACACATGTATATCTTAACGTTCAAGTCAATGGCTCTCTCTGTTCATCTAATTCCTTTTCCTCGCACACCCTGAGATGCTATATTTGGGGAACACTGTTTCGTATTGCTGAAGGGGGGGGGGGGGGGGGGCTGCGCTCAGGTTGGGTAAAAGTAAATAGGCCCTATATAAAGTACAAGGTACAGAGTAATAAAGGATGCAATAAAACTATCACTTTATCAGCAAGAATCCATCAGCCAACAGTATAAATAAAATAAAAGGTAGGTTTAATTGTATCCCAGTGTACACACAAAGGAAGGTACATAGATTTATGTTAAAATAGTATGTATTCATAGCATTATTAAAATCTGTCTGGGAAAAGTTATGGCATTAGCTGTACACTTTACAAAGAAATATCTCTTTTAAACCACTAACGTCTTGTTGGTTCCAGGAGGGTTAATTAAGATGATAATGAATACTTTGCTAATCTGACGAGTGATTATATATAGTGATTAATGAGGCGGACTAATTGGGATTGTCCTAATAATATGAGGGGGTAAGGGAGCCTCCAGTCAGTTCCAAAAATAAGGTTGACCCCGACGTGATTTGAACACGCAACCTTCTGATCTGGAGTCAGACGCGCTACCGTTGCGCCACAGAGCCGCCCGATTCTTTAGTCAGTGTGGGAGATCAGAACATGTTATTGCATTTCGTGAGATTTTCCTGGGAAAAATTGAATTCTTATTAGGAAACAGTGTAACAGGGGTTAAGAGAGGCTGACGTGGCAAGGGAAGAGACTTTCATTTGGAAGTGGGGTGGGAATCTAGGTTTAAGACAGGCATTGACCATAGACTAGAGGGGACAATAGAAGAGATTTTAAATTAGACAGAGAAAAAAAAAGGGGGAGAGGGGCGAATGCTGCCTTAAAAAGCAATATCAATAACCATAGAGAGGGCCATGGGTGGAGGCCTAGACAGAAATCACGTCTAAGAGAGAGTGCCATGGGTGGAGGCCTAGACAGGAATGACGCCTGAGAGAGGGGGCCATGGTTGGAGGCCTAGACAGGAATGACGTCTGAGAGAGCGGGCAAGAACTCAAGCGACTGGAACAATTCTGATTTTGTGACAATGGCAACTGGCCATGTACTGACTGTATAGTTTATTTATTTGCAAAACAGAAGTCCAAAATCGACATCAAATTAGCAAGCATGGATTCTCAAAGAGTCACTTCCATGCGTTCTACCCAGGCTCTCGGGGCAACAAGGAGGTGGGGGGTAGTAACAGCCCTGTTTTGTGTTCTGTTACTTTTATTATGACGCCCTGGTGACCTTGGCTCCTGGTGAGAGTACGGCTTTAGTTTATCGTCTTGAAACATACAGTCAGTAAAGAAATAAACCAGTACTTCAGTACTTTGTAACATTAAATCTTAACCACGGGTTGTCTCTAGACTCACACACAGCGGGGAAAATTCTTCAACCCCTGGTTTAATCATGGTTGCAGGACAGTCGACGCCGTGTGACGTGTGGGCAATCTTGCCCCCTTCAACCTCCGCTGCTTTAGCAAGGGGATGGATATTTAATAAGCTTATAAAGGGCTCAGCGTCGTGAAGTAGAAATAAATTTATATACTATAGTACAGCCTAGTAGGCCTAAGCTGGGGACAGCGAACAGAACAGTGTTTGTGGTTGGGGAGAGGTTGATAAGAGGGAACAAGTTGATAGTAATGAATTACTTTGATAAGAGGCACAAGTTCATAGGAGGGTACAAATTGATAGGAAGGAAGAAATTGATAGTAGGGGACAAAAGGGGGGGGGGGGGGGGGGGGGGGGGGGCTTCGAGCATTTACGCCTAGTGGTAGGATTAATTTCAAAGTCAAACTACTCGCAGAGTTGCCTGGCCTGGCCTAACTTTTTTTTCACCCAACAATACTAACATCTCTACTAGTCCATACACTGGCTAGTTCTAGGTTATAAAGTATATGTAGTAATATAAGTCACACGCGACAAAGACAGTCCCACATCCTCACCCCCTCCCTTTCTTTCGTACACCGCAGGACTTAAAGTGCGGAGGACTTTTCCAACTTTTTCCCTTTTCCAACTTTTCCCTTTTCCAACTTTTTCCCTTTTCCAACTTTTTCCCTTTTCCAACTAAGATTAAGATTAAACCACTGATTAGGTTTATATGTGCATGAAATAGAGTACACAAATATGAAACTTAAATAATCTTACATCTAACCCATGCTTTGTCATGTTTCTAATATACACTATTTACGTACAGCACTTTTAATCGGGCGGCTCTGTGGCGCAACGGTAGCGCGTCTGACTCCAGATCAGAAGGTTGCGTGTTCAAATCACGTCGGGGTCAACCTTATTTTTGCTTTTTTTTTTTCATCAACTTGAAAATGTTTTATATATTTTACTTCTAGAACATCCTGCTTCCTCTTCGAAACCACCACCCCCCCCCCCCAAAAAAAAAAAA